CCAGAATTACCAGAAGTTAGAAGTGCTTCAAATTACTCACAGGGTAAATTGTACATTTATTTAAGTGACTCGTGTTTAGCTCAAAAGGAATGACTCATTGTACGTCTCTATAGATTCTGATAAGGAACCGCGCCACAGACTTGGATGCCCGTATGCACGATGGCACTACACCCCTGATCTTGGCTGCCAGGCTGGCAGTAGAGGGCATGGTGGAGGAGCTCATTAATTGTCACGCTGACGTCAATGCAATCGATGACTTTGGTAAAGTGTCTCTGTTTTATGCCTAAAAATCATGACCATTTTTATATTTATACTGAATGCAGTCAAATGTTGGAGAGCATCACTAACAACTCTGTTTTTCCTTGTTCAGGTAAATCAGCCCTACACTGGGCTGCAGCAGTAAATAATGTGGAAGCTGCTATTGTGCTCCTCAAGAACGGTGCCAACAAAGATATGCAAAACAACAAGGTATAAAAACAATCTGCCTCTTCTTCCACATTGTACTGTAAAACAATAGGGAAACATCTTTCTTAAACAGCATTCCTTGAGCATCTGTGCATCTCTTAAAGTGATGTCTCCTTTCTCTCTGCCTCAGGAGGAAACACCTCTTTTCTTGGCTGCCAGGGAAGGAAGCTACGAGACTGCCAAGGTCTTACTGGATCATTTTGCCAACAGAGAAATAACCGACCACATGGACCGGCTGCCCAGAGACATTGCACAGGAGAGAATGCATCACGACATTGTGCGGCTGATGGACGAGTACAACCTGGTACGAAGTCCTCCCATGCATGGAGGGTCACTCAGCACCACGTTATCACCCCCTCTTTGCTCGCCCAATGGCTACCTGGGCAGCATGAAGCAGCCCCAGCCTCAAGGCCAAGGCCAGGGCAAAAAGGCACGCAAGCCCAGCACAAAGGGCATCGGCTGCAAGGACGGCAAAGACATGAAGTTGAAGAAGAAGAATTCCCAAGATGGAAAGTCTGGGAACCTCCTGGACAGCTCAGCTGTTCTGTCACCAGTCGACTCGTTGGAGTCCCCACATGGCTATGTCTCTGATGTGGCCTCGCCGCCCATGATGACCTCACCTTTCCAGCAGTCGCCATCTGTATCCCTGAACCATCTGCAGGGTATGTCTGACCCACACCTGGCTGTGAACCACATGGTGATGCCAAACAAGCAGGAGCTGGCCCGCATGCAGTTTGACCCGCTGCCTCCCCGTCTTACCCATCTGCCCGTGTCTGGCTCCAGTGGCCAGGGCGCCATGAATGGCCAGTGTGATTGGCTGTCCAGGATGCACGGCAACATGAGCCAGTCAGGCCAGTTCAATCCAATGAGAGGAGGCCCTGGTGGTCAGGGAGGTCTACACCAGGGAGGCCAGCACGGGATGATGGCCTCCCTCCACAACAGCCACCCCACCACCAGTCTGTCTCAGATGATGACCTACCAGGGGATCCAGAGCACCAGACTGGGTCCTCAGCCCCACATCATGCAGCAGCAGGCTCAACAGATGCAGCAGATGCAGAACCTCCAGCAGCTCCAACAGCAGCAGCAGCAGCAGCAGAGCATCCAGCTGCAGCACCAAAACTCAAACAACACCAACAGTCAGAACTTCATCAGCGGTGAGCTCAGTTCCCCGGAGCTCCAGCAGGGCACAGGCAACTCCAGCATTCCCATCCACACCATCCTGCCACAGGAGACCCAGATTATGCCCTCCTCCATCAACCAGTCAATGCCCAGCACCCAGTTCCTCACCCCACCCTCCCAGCACAGTTATTCAGGCCCCATGGACAACACCCCAAACCATCAGGTCCAGGTGCCTGACCACCCCTTTCTGACCCCCTCCCCTGGCTCCCCTGATCAGTGGTCCAGTTCATCTCCTCATTCCAACATGTCCGACTGGTCAGAGGGCATTTCAAGTCCACCGACAAGCATGCAGTCTCAGATTGGACATATACCTGAACAGTTCAAATAAAACGTGTATCTTTATGCCCAGATGAGCTGCTCTACATATATATATATATTTTTTTTTTTATATAAAAAAAAGGCACTCTGTGAAAAAAAAAGAGAAAAAGGGCAAAGCTGTAAACAAGATTTAATAGGACTTTTTATATGCTTTTATACTAACAGCAACACCTGTTTTTCATCCATTCTTTTTATTTATTAATGTCTTATTTATGCGCATTGCCTGCTTACAGAAATTTTGGGGATCCATGGTGTTGGGTTGTACGCAGGACAGAGACAGAGTCTTTTAGCGAGTCACTTCTTTTAGTACTTTTTTCTGCAGTGAAGTCGCAGCATACACACTGGGTATTTATTTCTTTGAGGACTTTTAGTCTTTGCCTTTTTTCATATGATTTCTCAGTCTTTGTTTATATTATGTTATTTTTTGTATAATCTTGTTTATAAAGAAAATCGTGATTAAGGGGCATTTTATAGAACACATTTTAAGTTTCAGTGTTATTTCATTTTGTTGTAAGTGTGGAAAATATTCCAGTCGGTCTAAGCAAGTTGCAGAACATCACTTGTTTTTCATGCACAGGTCATTTTCCCTTTTTAAATATCACGTGATTCTTAGTTACACCCCCTAGAGTTGTGTACATTTCTTGAATCAATGGAACAGCATTGTTTTGTACCTCTAGATTTGAGATGTGGTGGAGATGTGATTATGGTGTACAGTATACAGCCATCTTGGAGATTGGCAGTTAAGACAGGCTTGAGTATCTGTTAGTCCTGTGGTGTTGGAGAACTGGCCCGTCGGCCACAGTATATGTTGTTGTCCAGAGGGAAAAGGAAACTTAATTTCCCCTGTCCCTCCTATTAGTTTGAGCCTATGGCTGTGTACATCCTTTTGTAAATATGTTATGCATTTCCCTTGTAAGCAAGATTTTGTTTAAGAAATCTGATGTCTTAAGCATGCAATTTTGATGGGTCTCGCACCAGTCAACCGCCTCTAAAATATCAAACAGAACAGAATATATATATTTTGTATGTTACTGTCCCTTATGCATAAATAAATTTGAACTATATACAAATAGATACAATATATTGTTAGGCAACATTTTTCTCACAAAAAAGAAAAAACATAAATATTGAGGTTTTATAAATTGATATTTATTTACTGTTCTGTAACATAAAAATCCACTGAGGCAACCATGTGTGTGTTATGAAATGTTTTTGCTACACTTCAGTAAAATAAAAAAAAATAAAAAACTTGGCTAAGTTCTCAGTTGTGTCCACCTCAGTGTTTTGTGAGACGCTCCCTGGTATAGTTTGCAAATTGTTATAATTTTTAAAAAAAACATTAGGTTGTAGCAAAATTGTAATATCTGTAAAATGTTTTCTTCCTCTTATAAAGTTATAATTTGCAAGAAATGTATTTTCCCTTTTCAAATTCAACCTGTAAAAAATGTTTCTTGTTATAATAAAGGGCACTTGTGTGTCTTAAACTTAAGAGAACTGTCTTCTTTTTTCTTTAAGATTTAAAAAAAATATTTCTAAGGATCTTCTGGATAGATTCTGTTAACTTTGAAGAAAACTAAGGATTAGCTGAACAAATATAGATCTGGTACAATAGTCACAGTATAAGCATCTGCCTCTGACGAGGCAAAACTGAATGTGTCATTAGATTCCATGTGACCTTTCTCTTCATACAATACAGCACTTCATTCAGTCTTTACATGCTGAAGCATCATTTTAATTGGTATGTCTCCATCTAGTGGTGCAAATTATTATGTCTAAATATCACATTTCATTTACTTAAAAGTAAGGTCCAGCTCATGGTCCAGCTGCAACATCAATGCAACTAGTGCATGTTGTTGATAGAAATAAAAACAGATTGTTGCATGACTTAATGCCAGTTTGCTGCGTGGTAATTTAATAATGAAAGATATGCAACATGTAAGCATAAAACTGAAATAATCAAGGTCTGTGACTGATGTTTTGACACACACACTCGAGATAGATTCTAAAGTCAGAAAATAAAGCAGAATCCAACTTTAAGCCCTTATTTTGCATTTCTTTGTCCCATGGTGAGGATTATTTACTTTTTTCTATTTTACATCGTTTTAAAGTTAATATCTACAAGTTTTTGGCTGTTGGTTGGTCCAAAGAAGACATTTGAAGTTATCTTATGCTTTACAACATTGTGACTGGCATTTTTCACAGGCAGGTTAATCGATTTGGCAGTGACCCTTATTGTATTAGTTCATCTGACAAGATTTTCATTTAAATTAGTACAAACCAGTTAACACAAAGTAATCCAGCAGTTTGTGGGCTTCAAGAGGTGAAGGGTCCTGGGGCAGTTGCACACTTTGTGATTCAGCAATCCTTATGACAGGTTAAAAGTACAAACAAAATAAAATATTGTACACTATAAGCTGACATTATAAAGTTTTGTTTTGTTTCATTGTCAATTAATCTGCCAATGATTTGTCAATCGATTAGTTGTATGGTCTCTAAAATGTGTTATATAATTTTAAAAAAAATTATTATTATTATTATTATTGTTATTATTATTACTATTATATAAAGCAACGAAAAATAGAAAATCCTTACAATGGAGAAGCAGGAACAAGCTGATTTTTGGCATTTTCATTTTTAGAAATGACTTCAACAATTCAACAATGAATCCATTATCAAAATAGTTGCAGCTCTAGATAACTTTATTTATAGGCTAGGCTACATCATGTAGAGACAAGCTCAGAAACCACATTGACACATTATCTTATTCATTGACATTTGAAAAATTTTTAGAAGTATGGATCAGTTATATTTTTAGTGATTTACAGTGTAGCCTGGCATTGTCGGACCTATTCGCATTTAGGAATCTGTGACAGCGAGTAACCGTGAGCTTGCTGATTTGGTTTGGTTTCCAGGCTGATTTTTCTTGTATTTTGAGTTGATAAAATAACTACGATTCCCATGATGCCGCTGTAGCAGCACAGTTGAAGTTCAAAGTTCAAACATTACAGTGAAAATAGGGCTCTCGCTGGCTGGTTGCTTGTGTGTTAACAGGGGGAAATAAACAACTTGGCGAGCGCTGAACACACGAATCGGTTGCCACAGCACCGAAAACCGGCAGAGGAAACCGAAAATGGTCCTCAGCTAATCAGCGCCCGTTCTTGCTCTGTTGTCGGCGGATTTACAGAACGACGGCTAGCTGGGTGCTAACGTTAGCACGCTAGCTTGCCAGGAGCACATAGCAACTGCTGCTAGCTAACGTCACTGGACTGGTACTCTTTACTCTCAAGACTGTAGCTATGTTCGTCCAGGAGGAGAAGATATTCGCCGGGAAAGTGTTGAAAATACACATCTGCACCATGGACGGCACGGAGTGGTTGGAGGAGGTCACGGAAGACACCACTGTGGAGAAACTGAAGGAGAAGTGCTTGAAACATGTAGGTTTTGGGGTTGTTTGTGTCTCCCCTGTTGCTTTTTTTGTCCTGTCATTCCTCTGCCTGGGGTGTTTGCCGTCTACCATGCCCTCTGTGTAAACTGTCAGTGTCGGTGTCACTAGCTTTGTATTTATAGTAACTGGGTAGACTTTGCTATTTATAATTTAGCAGGTTGGCTGCCCCTCTCAGGCTAGCTAGAGCTAACAGCCCGACTCTGCCCCTTTTCTGCTCCCACAGAGCATGCTGATTTTCAGCTTGTCTATTATTACACAGCTCATTTCTCCTCTCCTTCTATGGTCTATAGCATAAACTCCAAGTCTTGGTTTAATGTTTGCTTCTCATGAAAACATGGGAAAATGCACAGACTGAATAACCTATTTCATTCCAGAGATGCAATGACTTGTCAATTAACTGAGGAGTCAAACGTGAGGAGAATAACTATTTTGATGATGGATTAATCATGAAAGTTATTCAAGCAAAATTGTCATGGCTGTTTTCATCCTCTCAAATATGAAGAATCTCTGCTTGTGTTTGTTTTGTATTACTGTTATTGAATACTTTTATCTTTGCCTGCTGGTTGGACAAAACAAGACCTTTGAAGCCTTCACCTTGGATTTGCAGAAACTGGGATGGATATATTTCACAATTCTTTGACATTTTACGAAACAAACATTTCATGGGAGATTGACAAAATAAGCATCAGATGAATCCATGATAAAAAAATAATTGTTAGATGCAGCCCTATGTAATTTAAAAACACACAATTTTCACTTTGAATATGCAGTTCTTGTTTGATCGATGATAAGAATTAATTATTAAGCAAAAATGCCAGATATATTGTGTTGTTGTCTATTTAATTTGAGAATTTGCTGCTTGTCACTTTTATATTATTGTAAATTGAATACAGTCAGGTTGCAGACAGGATGTCAGTTGGCCTCAGAAATTGTGACTTTTTTTATACTAAATGATTACCCCAGAAGATATTTGGCCAATTATATGATAATGAAAATAATTAAAAAGTGCAGTCCTGTTCGCTTATTGTTTTCTGAGCTGGTTTATATTGTGCTTGTTTTGTAGTATGTACATGGAAGTCTAGAAGACCCCAAAACACTTACCCACCATAAACTTATACACGCTGCTACAGAAAGAGTCCTCACTGACACTAAAACAGTCGCTGATGAAAATCTAAAAGATAAAGGTACGTAACCCTCTAATTGATACGTTTTTGGGATTATGAGAAAAGAATTGACACTGTTTTTCATGAACTGAGCATGTTTCATATGTGCTGTAGACGTTTTGCTGCTCATAAAGAAAAGACCGCCACCGACCCCTCCAAAGATGGCAGATGTTACTTCAGATGAAAAGGTTAGTTTATTAAATTTTTTGTAAAGAAATGAAATTTCCTTTGTCATGTTTTCAAAGTCTGCACAACTTACCTGGTGCCAGCTTCTTATTAAATCTTTGTTGTTCATGGTTTTCACAGAAGAAACAAGATAACAAAGCTCCAGACAAAGATGCTATCCTGAAAGCCACCGCCAACCTGTCCACACGCCACACTGACCGCACTGTTACCCAGCACAATATCAGAGATGTGAGGATCTCAGAATCATGGCTTTAGCTTACAATGTGTACATTGACACACAGATGTATAACAAAAAATGTAGATTCTGTGAATAAGTAGTTAACGTTATAGTGTCAAAGATGGTATTGATTTTTGATGTGTTGTTCTTGTTGTGTTCGTGTTGTTCCAGTTTCAGACGGAGCTCAGAAAAATCCTGGTTTCTCTCATTGAAGTTGCTCAGAAGCTTCTTGCCTTGAACCCTGATGCTGTTGAACTCTTCAAAAAGGCCAATGGTGAATCATACAATCACTTAAAACAATTTCCAAGTCAATATCAATAATCCCAACATCAGGAAAACTAAGATGATAGAATATTTAGTTTGATATGTACCAGACATACAGCAGAAATTCAATAATACATCCATCTATGAATGCTCCAGACCTTATATGCAATGAAATATTGTGCAGGGCTGTTGCCAGTCTCAGTGCACATTGGGCAAGAGGCGAGGTACACCCAGCACAAGTCACCAGTGTATTACAGGGCCAGCACTTACAAACACATTCACATCTGAGGACAGCATAAGGTTTCCAGTTGATATTTGAGCAGCAACCCGAGCACCCAGAGTTTACCAACACAGATATGGATATAACATGAAAACTTGGCACGGTCCACTCCACTATCAAGCCCAGTGCAGTGAACCACATTTAGAGTATCTGTTTTACATATGCGAGCCATGTTTTGATTAGTTCTGATATGTAAAATGTTGATGTATTGTTGCTGTAAAAACAGATCCTGACAGTTCACACACATTGCCTAGCCTTAGTTTCAGTCCTCTAATCTGTTGGTGATTCTGTGTCTTGCAGCGATGTTAGATGAAGATGAAGAGGATCGGGTGGATGAAACAGCCCTTCAACAGCTCACTGAGATGGGTTTCCCCGAGAGCAGGGCTATCAAAGCTCTCCGATTGAATCAGTAAGTCTGTACTTGTTAACTAAACATTCGCATCTCAAAATAAAAACCCAAATGATTGACTTTGATGTACATTCATACCAGACTTCCACTAAATAGTGGAATTGGTTTTGGTTCTGGATAGCTTGCGTACACCAGACTTTTCTCACCTACTCCTTTCTCTCTGCAGCATGTCAGTGACTCAGGCCATGGAGTGGCTGATTGAACATGTAGACGACCCCTCTGTAGACACGCCACTACCAGGCCAGGACTCTTCTGGGGCAGCAGGAGCCACGGCAGCTGCCACACCAGGCCCCTCTGCCTCAGCGTCTGCCTCACCGTCAGCCTCAGCCTCAGCCTCAGCCTCAGCCTCAGCTTCCGGTCCTAACCTTCTCCGCAGTCTCTCCAGCCAGTCGAGCACAGACGAGAGCAGCAGGCAGGACGAGCTCACAGAGATCTTCAAGAGGATCCGCAGGAAACGGGAGTTCAGACCGGACTCAAGGGTGGGTGGCATTATCAGGTTGGAGATTTCATACAGTGCGTTGACTATGACTTACTTTTCTAAAATTCGATCTCAGAGCTCACACCTGGGAAGCTGAAGACAGCTGTAATACTAACATTTACCGTAACTGGTCTCTGACGATTTGGATTGTTTTGCCAATTCCCAACATTGATGTGCCTAAGAGAAACCGGTATGTTTTCCATTACTCTTATGTAGTATTTCCACAAATCCTACAAACAGGGCAGATGCAAGACAGAAAAGGTTTTTACCAAAATACAAGTCTGATAACTAAAGTTGCTTGCAGCCTGCGATTGCATCAGCTAATATACAGTAGAAAGTAGTACAGATTATTGAAACATGTATTCATCAATATAAAGCACTAGTAACCTCATGGCTACTTGGTGGTTATAAAGTTTTTATATAAAATGTTGTGTTCGCAGTCCTCTCACTTCAGTAATTGTGGAGCTCAAGAGTATCTCCAAAAATAGAAAAGTGATTAAAGCCCCATCTCCAACCATATACTTCGAGGTGGCTCATATATTTTTTTAACATAGCTGCCACATGAGTGGTTGTAACACTATTTCAGTGCTTCTGCTGCTGTGCACAAATTAGTTTTTTTTCCCCAAGACGCTTGCTGGGCTCCGTAGAACTGCGACTGCGTATTTTATTGTAATTAGACTGACCACCCAATCTTTTTCTTTGTTTCTGCAGGCTGTCATCGCATTGATGGAGATGGGCTTTGATGAAAAGGAGGTGATTGATGCTCTGAGAGTCAATAACAACCAGCAGGACGCTGCGGTATGTTTACCCATACATGATGGTTGAGACTTGAGAAATACCTCTGTGTGCTGTTTGTGATGCAACTCCCAGCTTATCTGACTTGCAAGCAGATGGATGATGCTTAGAATATGTGTGTAAAAATACAGTGTAAAGTCACATTTGTGATTTTGAGCTATGTAAATCAGATTGACTGATTTAAGGATTTCACTTTCTTTTCTTTTTTTGATTAGATGGCAAGCTACAGATTTTACTCAGGCCACATTTGACCCATTGTCTTTATTAAAAACTCGGCAATGCTGTAATTTCTGTATCAATTTTTAAGGAGTATGCATTAGTTGAAGAGTAATAATCCAAATATTCTGCAGTGTCATTGTATGAAAATCAAATTTGGACACTGTTTTGTAGCTGATTCTGCACTCTGACCTCCATAAAGACATCAATGTACTTTCAAAATCTGAAATGGAACTTGGTCTCTTCACTTTGTCTTTCCCTTCCTGCAGTGTGAGTGGCTGTTGGGAGATAGGAAACCTTCTCCAGAAGATCTGGATAAAGGCATCGACACCAACAGCCCGCTGTTCCAAGCCATCCTGGAGAATCCAGTGGTCCAGCTTGGTCTAACCAATCCCAAGACTCTGCTAGGTACAGTCTAGCCAAATTTTGTAAATAGATTAAAAAAATCAGACACATCATGCCCTAAAGGAAAATCTTTTAGAAATCCCCAGCTAGAGCAGACCTAGCCGGGGCAACTAAATTAGTAAATGCTGTGAACTTTACAAACTTTACAAACAGTGTGATGTCTCAGGTCCTTTTCATACCTGTAGTACAGTTCATTTGGCCTGGACCAAGGAAAAAAATATTGTTGCATCTTAGCTCTAGTCTGGTTTTTGTTCACACTATCTAATTACATATGAACCAGGACCTGTAAACATGAAGTCATGTAGACTGACGAGTCAATTTTAGAGACTGTCATCCTGCACGGCTGAATGGACCCACATGGGGGAGTCAGATTTCGCAGACTGCTGTCAGGTTATATATGCAGCACTTAACTCTGTCTGCTTTGATTTATGTTCTCTGGTCTCACAAAGAAGCTCTTAAAGAAATAGCTCATTGTCACCATTATTGGTGGAGACAAGAACTGCATAGAAACTAGACAAGAAAAATATTTCCCTCATTTTTTATTGGGGAGCTGATCTTTTTTGAAGTCCTCATTACCAAATCATTATCAAATGTGCATGTGTATTACCATGGTTACCAAGTTACCAAGCCCTCTTAATCGTTCATAATCAGTGGATGGATTCAATAGTAGTTTAGCTTTTGAATGGAGGCTAAACTCAGTTTGTCATCACAAAATCTTCTTGGTCTGTTTTGCTGTCATACAACAAAAGAATCACACCAGAGTCTGATTGACAGCTTTTACACCAGCCCCAAAAAACCTGGACCAGAGTTTGTTTGAACCGGTTAGGTGTGAAACACCCGGAGAGTTTTTATTTATTTATTTATTTTTTATTAGACTAGGTTCTTACATATACATTAACAGGTTGCTGGTTTTGTTAAATATATTTCTTACCAGTGTATTTTGTGTTTGTGTGCAGCATTTGAAGACATGCTGGAGAATCCTCTGAACAGCACCCAGTGGATGAACGACCCTGAGACTGGCCCTGTCATGCTCCAAATATCCAGAATCTTCCAGACCCTCAATCGCACATAGAGCCTCCTGGTGACCCCCCCCTGTGTGACTGTGGCAGCTTGTGTGTGTGTGTGTGTGTGTGTGTGTGTGTGTGTGTGTGTGTGTGTGTGTGTGTGTATATGACCATATTGGGGTGTGTATGACCATATTGGGGTGTGTATGTGTATGAGAATGTGTGGGTATCTGAGTATGGCAGAGACACAAGTATTCTTTTTGCCTTGTAAAGACAAAGCTCGAGGAGTCAAAGTATGAATTAAGATGTTATACATATAACTATTTATAACAGTACAGTAAAAACACTTATACAAAACAAATCTTAACATAAACATTATTATTACAGTAATTATTAAAAAAATGAAATTTAGTATGTTGTTTTTACATTCTAATGAGAACAATTTATAGTTATGACAGACATGATTTATTTTATATAATTTCTCCATGTGCAAAAATGACATCAGACATCAATTTAATGTTTACAGCTCAAAGACAACAGTTTTTGTATGTTTTGCAATATTTAAATATCAAATACAGTTTTGTCTGTCTCTTTAAATTGTTACATTTCATTTGTGGTGAATGTGTGGAAGACTTCTGTCAGTATCGTGTTTTTCCTTCTCCCCATTTGTCTTGTTTTCATCACAGTAACTGCTTACACTTGAGAGGCTGGTGGTCAAAGTTCGGTGTTTGTGAGGCTCATTGAAAATGGGCTTTCAGACACATTACCTCTCTCTCCATTCATGGCTGTGAGGTCACTGTAAGTCAACCACCTCTCAGTTTAAAGAGGAGAACATTTGTCCTTGAGCTTCTTTGAGAATATTTATTTGACTTTCTTGCCTTTTAGAGGAAAGCTGTACACTAAACTGTTCGTGTCTTAGTCATGTTTTTACAAGAAAACAATATACTGTATTAGGCCTGTGTGTTTATTGTTACTGTGCTCTTGAATGTCATATTATCATGTTGCATTCATTTAGCACTCGTTCACTTCTATGAATATTGCTCACTGCAGCACCAAGGAAGTTAAAAGAAGGGTTTGTGTTTTGTCTAAAAAAGGCTGTAGTGGGATGTTAACTGAAGCTGAGCCTAATCAAAAAGGGTTTTGCCTTTTTAACCTTTAATTTGAATGATGAAGATGCATGCTCACTTCAAACTACAGAGATGCAACCATCTTTATACACGCAAAGAAATACTAATGGAATTTGAGACGCAACCAGTGTTGGTCTTTTGGTTTACTTTTTTCTTTTGAGAGCAACGAACATTTATGCTGTCACACTAAACCAAAATGTCACTATATAACCTGCCTTGTCATTAGATGTATCCTTTGAAAATACCCTGTATTTCTGTGCAATAGCAAGGACTTGTGTTGACCTGTAAAGAAATATATTTGATTTGAGTGTTAGAGATGTGTGAACCGCAATGGGTAGTGTGTTATACAATATTAGCCTTTGCATTGAGTACTTAAAATCTCCAGCTACAGCAAGGTGAGCTCCGCCTCCCCTAGTTGTACTGAGGGTTTAAAAACAATATGGAGGGTGGTGTGTTTTGCCAAGGTTTTGAGTGTTTTTATTCAATATTTAAAATGTGGTATTGATGTGACTTTCTGCTCAGGGAGGCTGAGATTGTTTTTCTAAACCTGTCATTATGGCAAACCTCTGCTCACCCCGTTCTAGTTTGGCATTTGAAAATGGCTTTAACTAAACTGTCTAGAACTTTGCTTATGAATAAGAGCACTACAAGACATGGTTTCGTAAATGCAATATTTGAAAATATTTAAATGTTTTTAGAGAGAAGTGTTTGTTTGAACTATGTATATTGCATTATTTATATCAAAGCCAAACTAGTAACTTTTTTTTATTTATAACATTTTTAGCAAACCTCGAAGCTAATCTACAAATGTGAAAAAAAATTAAATGATTCAAATGTTGTTTTTACAAACCATTATAATGTGCTTATGGACCGGTAGGTCACAGTGTAATTTGAAGTAGTGCAACTTGTTTGAATTGAGGAGGATTTCTACGCATCTGGAAGCCTCTCTGCACACTTTCCGCACTGCAGTGGACCTTTATTATGGCCACAGTGATCAGCTGTCTCACCACCAACTCCACACTTGGCATTGGCATGCATACAAACCATCTCTCTCCCATAATATCTTGAAACAAACATTGGGGGATTGTACGTTTTGAGGAAAACGGTCGTCAGAAAATGCTGATTTCTTTTCAACATGGTCAACAGGAACAGAAAAGAACAAAATGAACTGTATTGCTTAGGGACACTGAAGAATTGTTGGAGTCACAGGTTATTGTTTTCACTCAGCTTTCATGCAGGACTGTCCCAGATCAACAACCTATGCAATATACTCTCACAGTCTGTTCATTCAAACAGCCTCATGGCAACTGGCATCTAAATCACTATTGCATTAAAGTTATTTTTGTGGCTGTATTCTTTGGAGTCTGTTGTTTTTAAGTGACTGAAATCCACTGGTAGACTGGTTGCATGTGTAGCAGATGAGTTTAGGATGGAATTGATCAGTTTGTTTGGTGAATAGGGGAATTTATTGTGTGAAGATGTGTGATATCATTCTGTCATATTCTGTCTTCTGCACACTTCTCTGTCTTCCTTGAGCTGCTTTTGAGCAAGCTGTCTCCCATTTAGGTCATCCTCAAGTTCACCCTGTAGCTTTTTATTCTCAGAAGCTGGTTGATGGTTTTCATGAGTCAGATGGTCCAGTTCCTCTGCTTCCTTCTGCTGCCGGGAGACAGCAGCCTCATAGTCCCACTGCTTAACTTTCGACTGCAGCGAGGAAACAGTGTTGTCCTTGGTTTCAATATCACTTTGAAGATTTTGAATATTGAAGTGCAGGGATTGAATTTCATTGTCTTTTTCAAGAGTTGGTCTTTCAATGCATTGATTTTAGCACAATTCACCTTATCACGCTCTATTATTTCTTTTTTGTCATCATTTTATGAATGCACATATATTTGCTTCTTTCTCAGCTGGTTTAAAGAATGCAGCTGTTTTTAATTCAGAAGAGCAAATCATTTTTTGTGTAAGATATTTTTTTGTAATGTTTTAGTATACATACGGAATGTATATTTTCTACTTAAATGTTAATTTTTGCAAAACTTTAGTGAACAAACTGAAGAATCACTAGCATGCTCTTGTCAAGACAATGAAGATTCAGGTGGGTTTGAAACAAATTTCAACTGTTTCTTTTGGATTTCTTACAGTTTTGATGTGTGCCAGTCTTATCTCTTACCTCACTTAAAGGAGTTTAGCAGTACTCTCGAATCTCTTCCTCAATCTCTTTCACAGTATCTTGAGAGAGCCCAGGGCCTGCAGAGGAAAAGACCCCCTGATTTATCTCTGTCCATTTTCTTATCTTAAAAAAGGACCTTTGCCTTATTGATAATTTGTCTTGAATGTAACTGGGATACAATCTGGCTTTTTAGAAACAAACTAACATATCCTCAAATTCTACATTACACTGTAAGTCAGTCCAGTCAGTCAGTTCACCCAAATTCCAAAAGAAAAAAAAGTATCCTTTCCTTTTCTACTAGTACCAACAGATATTATTTTGACTTTATACAAATTGAGTGATGGCACAAAAACCGTTTTACAAAACCGCTCTAATGTTGCACCAGATTTCACCACTAGATGACATCATTGGTCAAAGTCACAAGGACAACACAGGACTATACTAATAAAAACGTGTACATATATTGTGAAGATCTCTACAATATCAGAGACACTTGCACAAATGTACTTTATCTTCAGTAAAACTGCACTTAATTGTTTTTTCTTTTACACAGGGTACTAGTGGTGTTTCTTTGGATTGTTTTTTACATTTTTTGTAAGGTATATTTATTTTCAGTATCATTTAATTATTTTATATTTAGTTTTATGTCTTTGACTATAGATTGTGCCAGCTCTTTGTTATCATTGTATTCCTTTGACTTTATTTTACAGGTCCATTATAACCTAATAATTTCCTTGGAGATTTCCTGGAAAGAACTATGTCATTTGGTACTAATTACTGGGAAAATAGAGACAAACTCCTGTTATTTCAGTTATTTTAGATAGCACTTAGTTGTGTTAAGTTATTGATTTGCAGAGGAATTTTCTTGAAAGACCTACATTTCATTAATTATCTCTATGTAGAGTTATGAACTTGAACTTATGAAATTTTGCATTTTTGCAGGTTCAGCTGACATGCTGTGCATTGTTACCCAAACAATGAATTAGAATTGATTAATTGGAAATGATTAGCTTCAAGTATACCAGTTAAACCAGTTTGGCTATAATTAATAGGCTACTAAATTACATAACTGTCTTTGGGAAACTTTGTAGGAGTTTATGAGGAAATTACACACCCATAAAATAAAACTGTTGCCAAAATAATTTAAGAAGTGGACATAGAAGTTACTTGGAGGTAGCATTTTTAGCCTAAAGAAAAGAAAATTAAGCATAAATAAGAGAGTCAGTAAGTGCTGGTATTTTGTTGTCAGTTATTACCAGTATTGCTGGTATACAGTCTGGAAGGTAATCACGCATGCGCAGTCGCAGCCCTCACGAAGGCTGGGATGATAATTACATGTCTATGGGCAGAGCGCGAACACACCGCTGGTTCTTGCTGCATTGCCTGAGCCTCAAAGACCTGTGTGTGTCGTATCTAACATGAGGCATCTAATACAGAGATAATTTTTTTTTCACAGAAGAGTCTCTGTACGTCGGTCTTCTTCACAGGAAAGCCCTCCCTTTTCTCTGCCTGGCGGGTGTGGAAGTCTCGCCGTGGAGCGGTTGTCACACAGGCCGCGGATCGGGTCTTGTTGCTGGGAGGAGACCATTCAGACTCCCTGCTAGCATTATTAGCTGGCTATGATGCGTCGCTGCTGCTGGTGTATTTTCTACACAGCAGGCCACTGTACAGCGAGGCAGGTCCTTGGTTGATTGTTTACCCCGACGGAACTGAAGGGCGACGTGGATATACACCACACCTTTCAAGGTAATGTGTTGCCAGCTAGCTAACGTCATTCATGGGGCCGATGAATGCAGTGCTGCTCCAAGCTAGCGGTTAGCCGGTTAGTTAGCTGATTTACATTTGCATCCATGGCCGCTTAGCTAACCTCACGTTTGGCAAATGTGCACTTTGTCACCTAAGTAGTAGTTCCATCATTAATGATGTTGTTATAGCACCAACCCACTAACGTTAAAATTAAGGCTAATCTAGATAATCAGCAATTACCTACTTGTCCAACAAACCAGCATTGGGCCGTTAATGGTAACATAACGATGAGGTAACGCTGAGTTAAGGCTACAGGTAATATAACAATAGCTTAACCAAGGTTAACTTTTCTGGCAAAATAAAAGTATTCGGGTCCTTAGTTTGATACTATGTGTTTATCCATGTTTTTCCTTATCTTCATCCCATCATAATTGGGATAAGGAATGATGCCTTGGCTATATTCTTATTGTTTGGGTAATTGTAAATGTGAGTAAGACAACCATAAGTCTCACAAAACAAAGTAGAAGTGAGGTGGAAACAATGATTAGGCAAGACGTCATCCTGAAGGGGGGATTGAAAGTGAAAATGCTCTGATTTTGATGTAGTCACTGATTAGAAACATTAGTGTTCCGGACTCACTTTCTTTGATAATAATGATTATGATAATAATAATAATGATAATAACAATCTTTCATTGCTTAGCACTTTTTGAAACGAAATATTAGAGTTCTTCTAAGAAGAACTGACCAAAAACAAAAAAAAAAGATGACCCAAATTAATAAAAAGAGACAGGGCACAGACAGATTTAAACACAGTCACTGATGTAACAATGCATGGCTTTCCCAGAGTTTGTGGACTGTGACACCAAATACAGTTATCTTTCGTTGCGAGTCTTGACAGGGCAACTGCTGTCAGAGTTTTGTTGCACAATCTGAGATTGTCTATCAATGTGAAAGTGTGAGTAGTTTGCTTTATCAACAGTCAGTAAGATTGTTTATGGTCAAAATGTGCTATCTGTAAGTGATTTTGGTTGATGGACCTAATATAATCACAAAAGTTAGAACAACTTTGCGTATATTTTCTTCTTTAGTTGTGGACTAGTACAGTACATAATACAGTATGCTTGCCATAATGTACATACTGTCCAGAAAGTTTCATCCTTGTTCTCAAGACTGTTTTAGGTCACCATGGCCTCACTGTAGGTTCACTTCATTACCAGATACTACAAAGACAGTCTCCACTCTGTCATCAAACATTTGACATAATGACTGTGATCATGCCTGCAAGGTTGCTACTTTGGTACTTATGTCTCAACCACTAGATGCAAGCTCTAATTGACCATTGAAACAAAGATTAAGAGCAGTACCCAAAACAACAATTTCCTAATAATCAACAAACACCTTTATTTATGCCTTTTTTATTGAAGAATTACTCTAATGGAGCATCCAGCTACTCACAAGCAATGCCAAGGGGCTTTGTATCGTAGCAGATTGTGGATGGCTAATGTGCTGTTATTTGGCTGTGTCTCTACTTTGCAGTATGTTCAGTATAATTGTGACTCTCTAACATTATGTTTTATTTTTATTTTTTTAAGGATGGATGTTGATTTTTGTGCTGGTGGGGACAGTACCAGGAGAAAAGTGGATTTGGCTGGGGTTGCAGAAGGCACGATGGATGTTGTACCATTGGAGATGTATGACTCTGCCAGAGCAAAAATAGCTGCCAACCTGCGGTGGCTGTTTGCTAAAGCCTATGGCATTGGTAAGTAATGTCAATTTACATTGAAGCTACACAAATGGCAAGTAGGTTTTACTTTTTTTTAGATTCACAGTCATCTATATGACTTGCCTTTAATATCTAAATATTCACTATTACAGACCACAGAGAGTTTAATGGATCCTAAGATAGTGCCTGGAAATTTGCAGCATATTTTCCTCATATTCTCATAGTTATTTTGAAAATTCAGATGTTGTTGTTGGAACAATATGTTTACTCTTCTCAACATACTGACGGTCAGCAGATTGTATAGAGCTTCAGCGGTGAAACATTGACAGCAAAAGCCCAAGAGAAAGAAATATTTGTGTATGTGTGCACTCAGGCCAACACTAATTCCCAGTTGACACTTGGCAACTGAAGCCTTCCTCACTGACTCACCAGATCCTTCCATTCTTGTTGGGTGGCCAGTGAGATTGAACCCAAATCGGGCTGAGTGACAGGCACTGAGGATTAGGCTATATTTGTTAGACTGTACTCAGAGCATGGAAAATACTGATCTGTACTGCCAGTCACTCACACTCCCTGTTAAGGTGGCATCAACATTAGCAACTGGGCCTCTGAGGCAGATTTTCTGTAGTTGCAACAGTCAAGAATTGCATAAGTTTCAGGAATGAGATATTTGAAATTCAGCACAGCCTTTTAAGGATGTGTTTTGTTGTGGCCATAAAACTAACAGCCTTAAAAACTCCAGCACTGTCACTGCTTACCTTCTGCTATGTAGTAATTTTTTCACTGGGTAGAGCTTGTAAAGTGCACAACAAAGACAGCAATCCACCAGATTTTTCTAAACATTTTTCATTATGTGTGGATTAATTTACTGTAGATGTGAAGTTTGGCGAATAATTGAAGGCATGTCCACTCACTTTCCAGTTTATTATTATTTTTATTATTGTAAGCTCACAGTTTTTCCAATTGTGTGTTAAATCAAGTCAGTCAGTTGCCCATATGGACATTGAAGGTATTGTTTGCTGTAATGTATTTTACTGTTCATAATTGAAAGATCTCTTATCAAAGAGAAAATGTATTCAGAAGTTTATCTGATGCTTATTGGAGGCATCTGCAGTGAGTCAGTGCAGTCATTATATAGCGCTTGAGTGTAAAATTCCCTTGGAAAAATTGTGAACCTATTATTTTAGATATAAAATTAGAATATAGCACCATTGTAATAAATCATACCTTCATTAAGGTTGATATGTTTTTTTTTTGCATTCATTCAACACTATATTAATTTTGGAGGCTGTAATTTGTGGTGCTGGTGGAATTGTATTACGATAAATTGAGAGGTGTTCCTAATATGCAGTAGTCTCTGTGTTATGATTGGGGTGGACAACCTTTGAGAAAACACCTTTTGAAAATAAGAGTCAGTTGCCTAATACTGGAAAATTAGTGTGTAAAATGAAATTGTTTACAAATACAGCTAGTGCAGCTTGCTGTATCTTGTTGGGCACATAGCGGTTGGAACTAGTTGTGGTTGGCTGTTATGCTCTAGCCAGTGCGTGTGCTGAAAACCTTACATCTCTTATCAGCAGCTGGAAGTTAACAGCAATTAACTGTCAGTTGTGGATGGTCTTTCTGTCTCTTGCGTGCAAGTTTCCTTGTTCGACTTGCATGTAACCAGCCATCATTAGGAGCTCCAAAATTCTAGCTGACTGTGAATTTCTAGTTGAATATGAATTATCATAGGCCTGTAGTCCATCTTGAGAAAAAAAATCCCTATGTGAGAATTTTTCTCCGAGAGCCTTCACTTGCATAATACATTTTTAACCTCTAAGCTCAGAAATGTCAGCGAGGAACATCCTGACTGTTTGGGAGGTGTTTAATCATCGGCCTTCACAAATATTGAAGGATTAACATCGCAGCATATCATCATTATTTCACTGTGGAGCTGCTAGTTACCTTTTTGATGTGCTGAGGGGTGTCTTCTTATCATGGCAGTTAAGCTTAGTCAGTGTTAGCCTCAGCTATCTGATGCTCAGGTCTCATCATTCACTGCTTTGCATGTCTGTGGTATCAATGTAGTTTCGGGTCAAATCATCTGTCAGTTTTTCAGAGGCTCATACAAGCTTTCCTTTGTATTCTGTGGTTTCTCGCATATCTGTGGTCATTACACAGATTTTCTAATGCCACTGAAGCATTCATACTAAACAAATGACAGTAAGTTATGGTTTTAATGGTAATCCGGGTTATGGACGTCCTGCAGTTTTACTCTAAACCCTTTTTGCTCTGAGATCCATTATGTAGGTTCATATTTTCTCAGAGTTCATACTACGGCTTGTAGGCATTTGCCTGCTCACTTCAATGTCTGTCATTATAGGCCCTGGCTAATGATGCAAGCCTAAAGATGGAGCATAACAACATCTCTGTACAAAAGATGATGTATCACAGATGAACTTGGGTGGAGATCCTGTTCAGTTACAATAGAAAGCATACAGTTGCCCCAAAGCTTTGGCAGCCCAGAGGGAGGCAACTCTCAGGTGCAACCACAATTATCCTCCTCTCTTGGGAACTGAATATATTAGCCCCATTTGAATTTCACCCTATGGATCATATGGTGTCTGTTACAATGCTAATGCCATCCAGTTGTTTACTTTGCTTGTGCAATGGCTGACAGAGTGCAGGATTCTCATGATGTGGGGGTTGTCAGGGAATCAGGTGCATCTGGTGTGTACTCATCAGTGTGGGTTCCCTGTTGAGTCTTTGATCGTGCATCATGCATATCTGTGTTTGTGTACATGCTCTCCTGTCCTGCTGCCCTCTGCATGTGCCACAGCTGCTCCCAGCCTGAGCAACAGACAGCCAGACACATCGCCAGCAAGAGTCAGCACCTGTCATGATTGCAGGCACATCGCTGGTTGTTGCACTGGCCTGCCTGTGCTGATTGTGGTATTTTGATGATCCTGGTTGGCTGATTGTGCCGTAGCACATCCTGGTTCTTGTTTACAGACCCTATCCTCATTCTCAACCCCATCCCAGTTTGTAAATTTTTCAGGCTGGCTCCTGGTGGCAGGAGGGTGGGGGGCAGCTGCCAGACGACATCAGTGTCTGCGGAATGAAGTCAAACGTGAAGACTCGCCCCGGCCAGACCCCTTTGTTTTCATACACAATTACTCCCACTGTTCTAATGTGTTTAAATACTCAGACGCATCTCTCCAGGAATGACCTACACTGCTGGGTGGTGTTTCGCATAATAGGATGACATTCTTATTTGCACCATGTGTATGATGGCAGACAGACAAATGACAGTATACAGGATCAATGTGATCTGAGCATTAGCAGCTACTGAAATAAGGGCTAATCATATTAATCATATTAAAATTGCCATTTCAATTCATATTTGCAATTTCATTCTCACAAAAGTCTTCATATACAGTATGCATTAGCAGGAGGATTTGATGGAGCAAAACAAACGCTCCTAATTGCTTCCTAAGTTGAGTCAGCAAAATGACAAGAGGGGAGGGCGGCAGAGACAAAATCAAATGTGAAAGAGACAAAAACAAAAGTAGAATAGCAACACTTAGTTTTGGATGGACCACAAGAACAAAACTGAAAAAATGTGCTGCAAACTAGGAAACCCCATCTGTAAGTAAGTAAGTAAACGTATCTAGCTCTGGTTCTGGTTGAAATGTTCTCATGCTCTGTAATATTTTTGGATTAAAACATGATGATGGTCAATTTTAAGCACTGTTTTTAGTGGTAGTTGCAGCACTGCATGGCAACACCACAAATTTATAATCCCTTGCACCTGACTATAGCAACGTCTACAATGTGAATTACATACCCTATATTTTTTTTCTCATTTCTCCCCAACTGGGCTGCTGTAAATGTGAGATTTTGATATGTCTCTGTGAGGTCATGGTTTTGTATCTAATTATTCTTTTCCACCATATTTTAGACACTCCTCAAAGCCTAGTTTGTTGCCTCGTTACTTGTGCAGTTCAGCTTTTGTCCTTGGTATGTTATCACAAAAGCAGCTGGAAGAAGCTGCATTTCTGTTTTTGTGAGCAGGAGATTGCTGACGAGTGGCTCCCTTTATCCTGTCAGTCAGAACACTGAGAACACATCACATACTAGCATACAGCTTATGCTGTGTTACTGGAGCTCAGGGAGAGTTCAAAACAGATTTAATGGAGCGGGGTTATTTCTATCACCACACCATTTTGTTGAAAAGTGAGATTTTGGACACTTTGTTAGACCTATTTTAAACTTGTATGTGAGGTTTACCTTGCAGTTTAAATTTGGATTAGTGCATGCCTCAAGTAAAGTGCTCCTCCATCCCATGTCCATATATGGCTTTGGTGTTTGGTGAGAATGACTTCACATCCAAAGCAACAGAATCTCTTGTGTAGGTCATAGTTTTCTTATCGTACTTGTGCCTCCAGTATTGTTAAATTAGCACTGGCCAAGCCAACCGTGTCACCTGAGAAGCCTGCTCTCACTGCAGGCTCGGCTTAGTAAGGATCTATTTCTCAATGTACTCTTAAGGGCAGTAAGCTGTGACTTACAATTACAGATGGCCATGTTTGCTCTAAGTAAACTGAAGCTGGCATGGAACAAATATTACACAGAAAGCGCTTTGCTTTGTTGCATTCCTCTACTGAGTTGACATTGTCGAAGTTTGATAGATGTAGGCTGAGGCAGACAGAGATGTCAGTGTTAAAGGGGCTTGACAGGCACTGTCATTTTCCTCCTTCATCATATAATGTTTTAAGATTTAACTTGTATCTGTCTTCAATTTATGTCACAAATTGAAAGCTAAACTTAACAAACTACTTTGGGAGCAAATGGAAATACCACATGATTCACCTACCCACTCTCTCCATTGCAGACCATATTCCAGAGGATTTAAGGGACCCGTTCTACACAGACCAGTATGACCAGGAACACATAAAGCCACCTGTCATCCGCCTACTGCTGTCCTGTGAGCTCTACTGCCGTGTCTGCACCCTCATCCTCAAGACGGAGCAGGCAGCTTCTCTTCAGTCCCACCTGTCTGTCATCCAGGCTCTGTCCAGGAAGGGCATTTATGTGGTGGAGAGTGACGATACGCCCGTCACAGAGGGAGACCTGGCCTGTGTGCCTATCAAAATGGTGAGTGGACGCATTGAACGTCGGTATGGACACGTTGCTCGTTCCCTCAAAACCGAGCAGGAGTCCTCATTGATGGCTTTGTGAATTACCATTTTCAATTTCACCGATCACTGATTGACCATTTTCAGCTTAAGCTTCTCCTCTGGGTGAAATTAAAAGCCAATAATATTGATGTATTTATACTCTTATTGTTCATAAGACACCCTTCAGCATCAGACAGGCCATGATGCTGCAGTAGCTTTTACACAGATTGCCTGTCAGAGAAGAAGGAAACCAGGCCACCAGCTAAAACAACTTTGCACATTACCTGTAACATCCCCAGCTCTTCCTGCTTCTGATGTATTATCTTACCACAGTGAAATCAGTGGAAGTAGTCAGTGCTTGTATCCTCGTCCAGCGGTGCAATAAATCTCAGCCACAGGCATTTGAACTAACTAAGAAACCTCTATCTATTGTGTAGAGTGACTTTAAAATCTTGTGGATAGGCATTTGGTTATTTGTTTTGCATTGCACACTGTGTATAAGTGAGTGTTAGACATGTTTTGCTGCTTGAAATAGTACAGAGAACAGTTTCCGGATGATTTGGGTGTACCCTTATCATTTTTATTCAAATTAGTTGTGTGAGGACTTCCATGCACGATAAGGCTGAGATTAGGATTTGTGATGTGTTATTGCACCATGGCAATGTTGTATCTAGTCTCTCAGGGGTGGAATTTAGCGACTCATTTTTACTCTATAATACACCTTTGATTTTTTTCCACATTTGCTCTTTCTTATGTCCATAGCCAAAAATATTTTTTTATAACAAATCTGGTCTATCACTAACAATTAAGAGTTGCAGAGAACAATTCAAACAAAGACAGTGTCTCATCATCAGTGCACCAGTGTTTTCACATAGCTCACAAAGTTGTGAAGTCTGCAGTTCTTAATAACTGATTATTACGTTTCCTTTAGGGATGCAACAAATATTAAACTAAATATAAATATAAACTATATTGATTAATGGTTTGTAAATTGTCAGAACAATCCAAACCACAAAGAGTTTAGTTTACAGTTATAGGAATCTGAGTTTTGAAATAGGAATTTGCATAGTCTTAACATTTGTTAAGTTCATTTCTTATGATTATCGTGGTATTCATTTTTCCTATAACATACAGCTGTATTGTTGTGATTACCTCGTGTTCAAAATACCATGTTTTGATCCGAGGACATAGCTTTAATAAGCATCCTCTCTGCTGCAGCTTTCACATGTGGAACTAACCGACTCATTCATTTAATTACTTTGTCAAAAATATCACTTTCTATTCTTTCTTTCTAGTTCATGAAAGAAAAACCTACAAATCCTCATAATAATTGAGGCCTGTTCCCTCTCAGAACAGGCAGTTTAATCAGGGGCATCAGTGTTAAGAGGGTTACTCTTGCGCTAATACTTCTAAGAATGGATTTTATTGTCTGTGATATTTTTCTCAACTACATTTTTGTCAATCTGTTAAGCGCATTTGCTGAATGTTGGCACTTGGAAATCTTCACCTTTAGTCCCCCAGTGCTCACTTTAAATGCCTTTCACACAACCATGCTCCCTTGTTGATGCATTAGTTTGATTCTGAGGAAAATGTGGATCTGTAGACAAAGAGGTTGTATGTCTTCATGCAGGAAACTGGTGGCCTGGCTCTACTGATCTTCTCTGTAGTCATCATATGAGTGTAATACTCATAATATTTTCACAGGTCAGCTCTTAAACAGATGTAAGGTCCTTTGTTTGTATCCTACATCCTCTAGGTCATCACCTGAATCAATAGCAGCATGTCACAGTATAGTGAATGAAGAACAGAAAGCCCCCCCAACTCATGGCAATGAGATCTGTTGTCTCGCAATTTCACCAAGAGCAGTTCACACAGGATAGAATTAACACCAACCAGCTCAGTTGCTCTCAGCCATCTTCCGACCCCTTTGTTACCATGGAAACCGGCAACGGTGTTGAGCAGGCCTCCTCTCTGCAGGCTCACTAGTCAGGGATGTGCGTCTGCTTTTCCTGTGAGTGGCCTGACAAAATAATCCACGCAGGCCTGTGTGTAAGCAGCCAGACACAAAGCCTGGTGAGGGGATGGAAAATCCTGAGCAGGACACCGCTTATCTTTGATAGACTGTTGGAACCCCCTCCCAGTTTGCTGACTTGACAAGGCGTTTCCATAGCAACTTACATTTTCCGACTTTGTGTGTGTGTCTGTGTCTGTGTGTCTGTGTCTGTGTGAATGAAAGAGATCCCATACCTGCAGACAGCTCCTCTGCACCTTGTGTACTCTTGTTGGGGCAACAGCTGGGGCTTGTAAAGCCTCAGGAAACTGGCCATACTCTGGAGTCCACTTAAACTTTTGAATATGTGTGTGTGTGCGTGCACGCTGTCTGTCTGTCAACGTGCACACCCACAGCTCGGGGCAACAGCAGCCCTCTGCTCCCCATGGGGCTTTATGCTGTGCTGATGAAGGGCAGAGTAAATGTTGGAGGAGAACAAAAGATTGAACAGCACATTGTGCTGTTAGATTTGCCCTTTTGTGTATTTATTGAGCACCACGTATTGACACTTAAGTTTTAAATGCATCTTTTTTAAGATGAGACGTTTCATATTTTATGCTGATGCGTTATGTCGCAAATGCATTATGTTGTACTGTACTGCATGTTTAAACCAATCTTTTTCCCTTTTTATCGGTTAAGTACAGCATCTCAATATGACATGTCGGTATGCGCCAGTTTCAGGGATCTGGGAATGTTTTGTCGGATAGTGAGTACAGTGACAGTGGTAGAAATGATGGTGTAACTTTTCTTAATAAGATCAATTTTAGTAAACCCTAGTTATCCTTTAAATGAAGGCAGAGAAACAGATCAGAGGTCTGCCAGTATAAGAGGAACAAATATTTATCTGAAATGGCCTTAATGCTTAAATCGTCTTTGCAAACACGAAACAAATCAGCTCAACAGTAGCTGCTGTGTAAGTGAATCAAAGGACCCAGCAGAACTTGAGCTGCTCTTGGTTTCCTTTACACACAGTCTTCATCCTTTCTTTATCAATATGCATAACCTTTCCCCTGTCTTCAATATTACAGTCAAGGTTTGTCTGGAAGTAGATCTTCACTGTTGTTGTCTGTGTCCATGTAGGTCGTGCTGTGGAGAAAGCTCTGAATAGCTCTCATTTGTTATGTTAACCAGCATAATCTCTGTGCACTTCCATCACCAATTGGATTAGACTAGCAGCGTGTTACACAAAGCACTGACTGAAACAATGGCATGTATATATTTTGTTCTGTAATGGATTCAGGTGCTCCATTGTTGGCTGTGATTTTTTTTTTGGACTAAACCCCTAATAACCGACTTTTATGTAGAATGAGATTTTGCAATTGCGTTTGACTACCAAAATTGGGTTTTGCCAGCTGGGGACAAATGTTCCTTAGTATTTGGTCTGTGTTAATTCCCACCCTGGCTGTCAAGGGATCAATATTTTGACCGGTAGGCACCAGGTGTTAGGCCACTTGCAGTAAGGATGCCCCTGCTGGGGCTCTTGATTGCATTAGGATGTAGAGAGTGGGTTTAAGGTTGGACACCCATTGTGCTGAATCACCTTTGATTAAGACTTGGTGGTTATTTAAAGCTGCACAATTGTTTAGGAACCTCCCACTGGAGCCCTGAATCAGACAGTGCCCTTATCCATTAATCTCATCCATTTATCCACACCTCATAGTGGCTGTTATGTACCAGAATCCACTGGTCACTAATTGGTTTTTATAACAAAATATGGTGATGATGATATCAAAAGATCAAAAGATTACCTGCCAAAGTAATAGGTGGGGTATTCTTGAAACAAACTACAGTGTCATCTGAACATGTTTTATGACTGTTCAGAAAAGCCACACTTATTTATAAATATCACTGGTCTGTTCCCGGTTTTGGGGCGTGCTACTGTATATGTGAAAGAGTTTTTTGGCTTCACAAGGGAAATGTGTGAAATATGATGAACTGCCTCAAGTGAGATCACTTGATCTGGCTTCAGTTGGGGCTGAAGACTTTGAAAGAAGTTAGTTTGCCAGACCTCTGTGGCCTTTTCCTCATATCCGCTTGAGGCTAGCGGCTTGATGCTACATGAGCTGCAACTAGCATAAGGCACCTGAATCTCCAGCTGAACGGTCTGTGGTCAAGTTGCATTGTGGGCTAATTAGGGGCAGGTTTTGACAAAGAAGAATAGTGCCTGGAATATTTTTAACTGACCATCATGTGTCCAGCAATGTTATTGGACTGCAGTGCTACATGGGTAATGAGTACTAGAATACAGGGCGAAATGCCAAGATGTGATAGTAGCAGTATCTTTGGTCAGTTTCTGTATGAAGGCATTTAGGGTGTTGCACTCATTTGTACATACAGAAAGTGATGGAAGTAATTTTAAAGAATCAAAAAAGAAAGCTTGACAGTCTCAAGTCCTGCATCCTTTCTCATGTTTGCTCATCTGGAAACACTGCATTTAAAGTGCACTGACTCCTTAGTTGCTAGAAGGAATTCTATTTGACATTTGCTCATTTATCACAGGGTACAAGATTTATCAGGAAGGGTATACTTAAAACACACTAAATACAATACACTTAAACTATCTTAGCATAGTCTTCGTTGCATTTAAGAATTTCAAACTAAATACTTGTGTTAGTGCATGTTCTCATTTTGTTTGCCTCCAGCCTTTATCTTAATTATATTGGAAACTGGGAGAAAATCCAATGAAATTGAACCGTCCTCTCTTTCTCTCTCACCCAGAGTGCTCACATGCCGATGATCGATGCCCTGATGATGGCCTACACAGTGGAGATGATCAGCATCGAGAAAGTGGTGGCTTCTGTCAAGCGCTTCTCTACCTTCAGTGCCTCCAAGGAGCTGCCCTTTGACCTGGAGGACGCCATGGTCTTCTGGATCAACAAGGTTGGGACACACAGACGCTCAACCCAGATATAAGAAGCACCACAGCACACTGACTTTTCACTACAGTTTACTAAAATAACAAGATTACACACATCTTCCACTGGGTTTTGCCTTTTTATTGTCTAAAGTCCAGCTGGTTTAGGTCATGGACTGCCACATATTTATCACTCAGCACCGTGTGGGATGAATGACCTGTTTCACATTGACAGCCTAAGTAACAGTAGTCCACTTGTCTTCTTGAGACTTGTACGTCATTGGTGCTCAGAGACAGGATAACAGATAGGAGTGTGGATCTGGTGCACACACAAGAGGCTGTGGCTCATGTTGCACTCATCTTTCAATGAGTTGAAGTCCTGAGGCAGCGAAAGCCATGACGCAGTGTGTCCATGAATCATCATGATGTCCGACACCATTATTGTCTGTGGAAAGGAAAGTGTCTGTTTTTAATGGAAGGTTCACAAGTGGTGACATTTTTTCCTGGTTAATCTGTCAATTCGTGTATTTTTTTTAATAGTGTTGATTAATCTACGGATTGTTTATCCTATAAAATGTCAGAAAATGTTATAAATTATCCATCACAATTTTTCAGAGCCCAAGGTTAAAGTTTCAGAAGGCTTGTTTTGTTAGAGATGAAACCCACAAAATTGGCAAATCCTCACAATTTTGTTTGGTAAATTACTAAAACTAATCAGTTATCAAACTTGTTATTGATACATTTTCTGTCACTTTGTTTACATGCACTTGTAACTAGAAAATTAGAAGGAAATGAGAAATTCTCCAGTAAATTAGTTTCTTAAATATCCTGTTAACCAAAAAACCTTGTTAGCAGAGATTAGAGAAATCTGATTTCCCCTGGAGGTGGTGATTTCTCTGCCATGTTTACGAGCAACAAGTTTTGTAATTGGCTTTTTACAAGTATGCATGTGCATAACTAACTGCAGTGGAGTGGGGAAATGAAATTAGGTATCATTACGCGTAGTAATGCATCGTTGTTTTTAAAATAATTCCCTCCAAACTCAGTGTAAAACTGCAACTAACACAAACTAGCCTCCAGAACGACCACTGAATAGCTGACTATTTGTGAAATTCCAAGGCATTTGTGCTGTGAGAAAGAGCTGTCTGTCTGTCTGTCCCCTCCCTGAGCTCTGAGTCTGACTCTGCTCTGACACATTTACATGGACATGCAAGACGTGTCCGTGTCTAAGTGTAGCACAGATTTGAACCAGGTATTTAGAAAATCAGCAGAAGAAAATGCAAATTCATGTGTGTTTCCACCCACTGCTGTTACGTGAATGCTAGTTGTTGGTACATTGATATAAACAGCTGGCAGCGTTAATTATCTTTCATGTATTAATCTGAGAAACATTACAATCTTCTCATGGCTCCACACAGATGATAGTTTCATCTTAAGCTGTTTTTCATGTTTCCATTGGAGCAGAAACCCAAATGCGCTTCTTGTACATCATGATTTATTCACTAAGCCGGTTTCCATTGCCCTTCATGACATTTACTATTATCAATACAGCAACTTTTCCACCTCAGGCAAGTGCATTATTTGTCTTATTTGAGAGTTTCCACTAGAAATTAGCATTCAGTAAATAACATAAACCAAAGAAGGAAAAAAAAACAAAACAAAACGATTAAAACAAGTAAGCCAATCCAAGTTTAAGGTTGAGTGTAAGAGAGAAATCTGATTGCTGACCTGCCAAATGTGTACACAGATTTATAGTAATCAGGTTACTACAGAACATGTAAAAGCGTTCTTCGATTATCTGCATAACCTGGTTTCTCTGCGTGACCTCGTTTCTTCAGTGCATGTAAACGTAATGAATATGTCATTACTTATTTTGCAGTTGAACATGAAGATGAGGGAGATTACAGAAAGGGAGCATAAAGTCAAGCACCACCCGCTGGAGTCCCCAAGCCACCAAAAGGTAAAGCCACTCAGAGTCTTCCAGTTGTTTCTTTTACCTAAAATAACAAACCCAAAATGGCCAACACGCTTCTTCCAGTAGCTCCATATTTCTGGCATTAAATTGACTTATAGAAGAAATTCCTTTTATCAGAAACATTTTCCTAATTAAGTCTTTATCAAGTGGGTGTCATCGCCACAAAAATGTTTATCAAGTGGAAACATGGTTCAAGACAACAGGAATGTTTCTTCCCTAATGGCATTTGCAGTTGTTTTGACCCTGCTCTCTTTTTCTCGATGTAAACCGGAAGCAGATCAAATCCTTTTGTCTGTGACCTCTGACCTGTTAATCTTTCTGCTCCTGTTCCTCATCTGTCCCCCCCTCCCCTCTCTTATCCCTGCAAACTGGATAGTCTCCCTCCAAATGGTATTGGAAACTAGTCCCTGTAAGTTGGATGCCAGTTCCCCCCCGCCCGCCCCCCCATAACCCCATTTTCTTCCCTCTCCCTCTTGCACGCATAGTTCTGTGTTGATGTGCGAGCACACTCCACCATGGCTCATTCAAGCTCATTCTGTGCTGCTTGTAGCCAGTGCGTCAGCAAGGGGGAGAAAGCTGACAGTTATTTTTTTATTTTTTTTATTTTTCCCCTTGTGGCAAATACGTCACACAGGTGTAAGGTTATTATAACCTTTGTCAGTTCAAAAGATATTCCTTTAGCTATGCTTTGTTTGCTATCTCATTTCAAGCTCAAATTGGCCCTGTATATATATGTGTGTGTGTGTGTATGTGTGTGGTATTTGCTTGGCCAGTGAGAATAAAAGCAAACCCATGCCTACACCTCTTCCTTTGCTTTGCAGTCCCATCCCTGGCCACCTCCCCTCACTGATCTGCTTTGTCATTCCCCCACCAGTCTCTCTCTTCTGCTCTCACACACTGTTTCCTCTGTGCTCACGGTCTCCTCTGACAGTATCTCTGCTCTCTGTGTGTGTGTGTGTGTCAGCCTGACGTCGTGCACGAGCTGGCCCACTGCATGCTGGAGCCAGAGGAGCTCTCTGAAGCGGTACAGTGTTTCATCCTAGTCAGGACAAGACTCACTTATGTAGAGCTTATTTAGTAATAGAGCTTGTTTGGTTTAGTTTCACCTGCTTGACTACCGTTGCTATAGTTTTGTGGAATAGCCTCCAAATAGATTAAGTAATGTTGTATGTTTAGATCAGTATATTTTCTTGCTGCTCAGCTGTTTTGTGCTGTACGTGTTCTGTTTAAATAGTGTAGTTTGTCCAGACTTGTACGAGGGAGTGGCATGCTTTGTCAGTCTATTGAGGACTAAAACTCGATGTTTAAACTTGTCCTTTATTCTCTTTTATTAAAGGGTCCCTGGCCACATTATTAGGTACAGGTATACAATCTAATGCAATCCAGTACAAAAGCTCTGCCACATTTTCTGCCTTTCCAAACTGCAAACTCCATTGATAAACATATAGCTAAAGTGATACCTCATAGATATTGTCAATCCTAATTGAACATTATTAGCTCTGTAAAGGCTGAGCTGTTGTATTGGATTACATTAGATTTTACAGGTGTACCTAATAAAGTGGCCACTGAGTATTTGTTGGGCTCTTGATAGGTTTCTTATTCTTGTTGGAGTCGTTCCCAATTATGCATCATGTGATACAAAGATCTTTTCCATGCCAGCGCAAGGCTAATCCCGTCTGTATTTCTTAATAACTTTGATTAATTCCCTTCATGCCTTTTTTATTAGTGCCACCGAAAATGTCAGGTTGATTGGTCATTACAGAGGGAGCGGTGTTCTCAGTATAAGGTGAAGATTTACAAGTCATGCAGAAGCATTTGACATTACAAGCAGTAGGACCAGTCGGTACAGACTGCTTTGGCATCCTGGGCGGTCTATATATATATATATTTCTCCGAATCGTATGTAGATCTGTAAGTGATCTCCATTTTTAGTTTCTGCATCACATGTACATGCCTGTGTAACAGTGTTTAGTCCGTGTCATCCGATTCAGTTATATGTAACGAGTTTGTGCTTGTGCTTCAATGAAGCTGAAATAAATACTGAAAATACGAGCTGTATAGAGCATGTGTCCAAAACTAATGCATCTGGGGTGAGTGAGTTTCTGGACCAGCCACACACTCATTTCCCATAAGTGGGCCAGTGATTACCCCAGTTTCTGTCCCAGTCAGCTGCTTCACGTTGCCTGGGTTGACTGGGTTCCACTGCTGGCTGCCTTCCCATTAGAGCCGGAGGAAAGCTGACCATCTACTCTGTGTTACTCATATCACTGCTCTAACACCTTCACCTCCATCTCCTCCCAGTTAACCTGGTCTTCAGGTTTCTCCCTAAACTGGATGATCCCATTAAACCTGCTGTTGGTTCAGTTGAAGAGGAGTTTCAACTTATATTAATAAAACTAAATACCTTTTTTGCTCTGAAACTCCTGGGGAGAACTTTGATCTGATGCTTAAATGAATTGGCCAGAGCATTAACTGTCATTCGTTGGTAGTACCATGGTGGGGTGTATTGTTGCTGAGGCTTTTCTTCTCATACAGCCGTCATCCTCTCCCCCTGGTGGTTAGGTGCGGTATCGTCGGGAGCACGCTTCAGGCCGTCAGCTGCCCTTCTTCCCACTGCTGGAAGACCTGATGAGGGACGTTTGTGACGGAGCTGCACTGCTCACTGTGGTCAACTACTACTGCCCAGACCTCATGAAACTGGAGGGTATGCTGTGCTTGCGTGCATTCACTCTCACATGTTCTCACAAAACACGCCCTCGTTCAATAGCTGCATCACGGCAATTATCAGTTGCCCTAAAAGAATTTAAAGAGCATCAAGCTTTCTCTGCTAACATTGAATTTAATATCTATGTGTGATACTATTTCTGGCACTTGCACATGGCTTACTGTTCCAGTCCAGTCAGTGTGACATTTATAGACATAAGGTCATTGAGTGGTGTCCTGATCTGACTTGCTCTTTGCCCGCCTGATCAGATATTTGCCTGAAGGAAGTTCCCTCCATCGCTGACAGCCTGTACAACATCCAGCTGCTCAGAGAGTTTGCCAATGAGTATCTGAACAAAAGTTTCTATCTGACAACAGAGGACATGCTCTACTCGCCGCTTGTGCTCAAGGTACAAAAACTCACATACTGTGTTTATCATGAACATTTGCAGTAAAACTGACTTTTAACCTGAAGTCAAAAGTCTGTATTCAAGTCTTTCCACCATGTTTCTTTTGCTCTCCACGTAGCACAATGTGATGGTGTTCATTGCTGAACTCTTCTGGTGGTTTGAGACTGTCAAGCCAGAGTTTGTCCAGCCCAGAGATCTGCAAGAGTTTAAAGATGGTAAGCATCACAGTGTGACTACTACTCATACACGATGGAAGATATCGCTTTGCAGCTTTGAAGGTTACACAGGTTGTCTCATAATGAAAGCATGGCCATGGTTTTAGCTTTGCGAAAGTTAAAAACATAAATTCACCAGACATTTCAAGTAAGAAATGTTCGTGTCCATCTGTACCAGACCTTCAAGATACGTTAATAACACACTTTGGGGTTACAGAGAAATGACTTCACGTCTTACTGTACTTATTAGTCATATCTTTGATTAAGAACCTACCTATATATATTTTCTTATTTTTTAATTTTAAATCAGATTTTTGAGTAAAGTGTCATGTTTAGGTCACCGAAGCTGAAATAATTAATCAACTGATTGATTAGCCGATCAACAGAAAATGAATTGGCAATCACCAACAGCTATGATAGTCAATCGTTTCAGTCATTTTTCAAGCGACATTCTGTTGTTTCTGCTATTTGGGTCACAATGAGAAATAAATCTCAGTCACTCTCAGTTGACCTTTTCCAGTGACGGCGAACCTCAGCCAATGATTAATACCTCTGTCCTTCTCCTTCCCTCAGCTCGAGCCATAGCTCAGCCCAAGAGTGCCCGTCCATCAGTGCCCATCTCCAACGCCACCAAGCGCAGCTTCCTGGCCAGCCCTGGCGTGGCCGATAACCAGAGCAGCCCTGAAGTCTGTAACAGGTACTTCCTGCACCCTGAAGACTCTGACCCCCTGTAAGTCTTCTCTCGCTTTCCTTCTCATTCCACCTCATCATGATCCTGTCTGCTAACCAGTTACAGTAACCCTACAAGGATGGGTAGATATGCAGCGGTGTCTGACTTTCATTGTCATGTGCCCTTCACCTCTAACCCTTTGGCTACTGCACCGAAGTCAATAATAATGTGCACTAAGTAAATGTGATTTTTGTATTGTCTCTGTCTGTGTGTGGTTGTTAGTGCTTGTGTGTGAGATTGAAGCTTAGGTTAGCTATCTGAAAAGGTTCAATTGAACTGTGTGTGTGTGTGTGTATATGTGTGTGTAGATGGTATTTGCTTGGCAGAAAATGTGTCTCTTTGTCTTGGGTGTGACCTGGGCTGATCCAGGAAGTATTTTTGCCAAGCTGTTCTGCTGGTACAATTCTGATGACAGTTTCAGTAATTGTGCATAACTGTAAAAAAAAAAAAAACTAGAAAAATGAAACTGGAATATATGTGGCTTTGACGGAGTGTTAAAATGTTGTCTTTCTGTTGTTTTTGGCTTTTAGTAAAGGGGGTCCAACCTTCAGTCCTTCCCACCCACTTCTGCCCCTGCGACAGAGACAGCAGAAGCAGCAAGGAGAGGAAGGTGCAGGTAAGGAAATACACACACACACACACACACACACACACACACACACACACACACACTACATATAAGCCAGCATAGGATACAGCTTCTTAACATTCAAATTGTCATGAGCAGCTTGTTTCATACCTCCTGATTACTCATGTGTTTCTGCTTAGGTCTGAGAAACCGTTCAAACTCTCTGACTCAGATGGACGGACAACCCCGAGGCTCTGTTGTTGCATGGCCCGACAAGAGGCAGAGGTATCTGAAAATAGTATAATAGCACAAATGCTCATGTAACAAGTTTCAAAACCCTTTTTATTTTATATATGCAGTTCAAGAAGTGATGGAATATAGGATAGGATCTTTATCTAGACGAGTTTGTAAATACTGGAAAGTGTTGGTCTACAGTCTTCAAATGTAAATACATGTGTATGAACTCTGTATATTGTAACCTATTGTAAATTTTTCCCATGCTCTCTCTCTGCAGACCACTGTCCACGCTGAGCCCCTACATGTTGCATTCAGCCACAGACAGTGACGTAGACATGGCCTCTGGTGACAGTGTGAGTCTGGCTCGCTCCATAAGTAAGGACAGCCTGGCGTCCAACGTCATCAACGTCACACCCAAGCACCAGACTTCTGTCCACCAGCCCTCACAGGCTGCGATGCGCAGAGTCAACGGCCACGGCATGCTCGCCAATGTCAGCGCTGAAGGTGAGGAAGAAACTCTGATGGCAGTCGCAAGGACTGACGTTCCCGCCACCCCCAAACGGGTAGATGGGACACAAGCAACTGCCACTGTGGGATCCAAACCTTCCAGTGACTCCAAACCTGCACCAGATAGCTTTTACCTAGAACCACTGATGCCTGCCGTGCTCAAAACGGCTAAAGAGAAGTCTGTATGCCTAAACAAGGAGGAGGAGAGTGGTGAGGGGCCCCGCTCCTCAGGAAGGGGCTCTTTACGCCGAGGAGATGGATCTACATCAGCTGTTCGTAGGAAAGCACCCTGCAGCCTAAACCAAACCTTTACCCCTCCAGGTGAGGAGGCAGACTTGTCAGAGGAGCCTCCCCAGGGTCAAGCTGGTTTCAGGCCCACTGTCACTAGCAGTGTGGATCCCTCATCCACAGAGCCAGCCGGGGGTTTCTACCTGCATTCAGATTCTGAAGAACCAAAGTCTGGCCAGGGCGTGGAGGCTGAGCTTGAAGACCTGGATGAGGAGGAAGAGGATTTGGATGAAGCAGTTACCACTAAAGACCCCAACTGGTCCAGGAAAGCCTTCAATGAGGAAGATGAAGAGGAGGAGGAATCAGCCAAACTCCAAGAGGATATGAATGTGAAAGAGCATGAGGACAAAGATACGAATGGTGGCAGTGGTCGTTCCAGCCCCTGTCTCAGCGCTCACTCCCAGGCCAGCAGCATGGCCAGTGGCAGTGTGCGCATGACCTCCTTCGCAGAGCGCAAAGCCCAGCAGCAGCGCTTCGGCAGCAACCATGACCTACGCTCCAGTGCCTCCAGCTCCCAAAGGACCACCCCAGATGGATCAGAGAGCAGCGGGCCCCTGGCGTCCTCCTGGAGGCTTAAAAGAGACCAGAGTCCCTCCTCACCCATGGGAGGATGCAATCGTACAGTGGATGGTGGTACGAATGTGCTGGCTTCTGAAATTGTCCAGCTCCATATGCAGCTGGAGGAGAAGCGACGTGCCATTGAGCACCAGAAGAAGAAGATGGAATTGCTGTCGGCGAGGCAGAGGCAGAAGCTGGGAAAGGCAGCTTTCCTGCACATAGTAAAGAAAGGTGGAGGCAAGAGCGACACATTACCCAACCCACTTAAAGCTGACATCTCAAAAGATGAGCTCAATGGGGGAAAAGGACCATCAAGTAAAGATGATATGTGTGTTGATGCCCTGAGGGGAGACAAAGAGGTGGAGGGAACCACCCCACCAGGTGCCTTAGACGCAGACAAGAAAGGAAACAGTGGAAGCTTCTATCTAGAAGAAGAGTTGGACCTGAACGAGTGCAGCCGCTCCATCGAGCTGCTGAACGAAGCCATCGGCAGCATCCAGCAGCAGATGATGCAGCTGTCACTGCAGCAGGACATGTTGATGAAACAGAATGTACAGTCCTCCCCGAGTGCAACTCCACCTCCCCCTGTCACCACTGACAAAAACAGTGACTCTAAGGCGGGCACAAGCTTTCATTATGTGGAGCACCTCTCTGGCACTGGCACTGCCCCCACCAGGAAACCCCCCAAGCTGAGCTCAGGCCGGGGGTCCAGGTCCAAACCATCAGAACTAAAAATAGCCAAGGAGCAAGGCCGGCAGGCCTCCAGGACCCTCACTCCTACCCAGAGTGGGTCAGAGACATTACCACATCCAAGGCAGTTAGGTGGGGGCAGGTCCCCCAGGGTGGAGCAGCCCGACAGCCCAAAAAAGCCAACATCAGGAGAGACAATCGACAGGCCTGGCGCTGGCCACATTCGGAGCGCCACCTTCCGGCTTCATGACGACGCGAACCTGCGCCTGCCGACCCGAGTGGACCTGTCGGCAGTGACTGCCCCTGAAGTGTCCTTCGACGAGTGCCTGTCCAGCACCACTGGAGAGTCTGAGCTCAATTCTTCAGACAGTTCAGGGAAAGAGAACATACCATCAGAGGAGGTGCAGCGCAACAAATCCCACCTGATTGAAGTTGATCTGTCGGAGCTGAAAGCGGAAGAGGAGAGCGCCGAGGACAAAACGACAGAAGAAGGTGAAGGAGAGCAGAAGTCAGTCATGGGCTTCTTCTTCAAGGTAATTCCCTTTGCATGAAAATGAAAATATTTATTTGTTTATGTAATTTATTTAGTGACGATGATGACATCATGACTTTATATCTGAAAGTTTCCATTTCAGTTCACCAGGGTCTGTGTAATGAATTTGCCTTTTTTGTTTTCTCAACACAAAATAAAAATGATTTAAGCCAAAAAATTGATTATTAATTCATTATTATTCCTTAATATTGGCTACTTGAGAACTAAATGGAATACTAATTAAATCCTTAAATATAACAATGATTATCCCGTGTTCTAGGACGAGCAGAAGGCAGAGGATGAGCTTGCTAAGAAAAGAGCAGCGTTCTTGCTGAAGCAGCAGAAGAAAGCTGAGGAGGCTCGACTCCGCAAACAACAACTAGAAGCAGAATCTGAGCTGAAACGAGATGAAGCAAGGTAACTCCTTTTTACCAACCACCAATATTAGGATTCATATTGTTCTACCACAAAGATGGTAACGACCAGGTGTTTGATTTCAATGCCAGGCGGAAGGCAGAGGAGGACCGGCTGCGTAAAGAAGAGGAGAAGACGCGGCGGGAGCTGATCAAGCAGGAGTATCTGCGGAGGAAGCAGCAGGAGATGTTTGAGGAGCAAGGCCTGGTGAAGCCCAAAACCCCCAAACCGAAGCAGAAACACAGACCCAAGTCTGTCTTCAGAGAGGAATCCTCAAGTGACAATTTATCTAAGTGCTCTTCCACACGTAAGATTGTTACATAACAAGTTTGACATTTAGCTGAAGCTGCATTTTCTTCTTTACGTGTCTCAGCATGGTGGTGCACTTTGGTTTGGTGTCGTGGGACATGTTGGCTGACTGCCAGTTATTTTCTTTCACTACAATAATTATTTGTCCTTCAGTTATTAGTAGCACATTAATATTGAACAGGACTGAGATGAGGGTGGTTGTTGTAGATTTTTCTGATTTTACAATTTATGTACATGGAGAAACCCTGTTTTTAATCATCCCTGTAGATATTTTAGAAGTTGCATTGAATCTTTCCATACCTTCACTTAAAACACTGAAGTGAGTGAAATTATGGTGCACTTGACATGCAAGAGATTCGATATTTGATTACATTATTCACTATTTCAAGCATCTCATGTTGAGTATGTTCAATACAAATACTATGAAGTTGATATTCTCTCTTGATGATTAAAAAAAACTAAAAACTAAAAGTCTTTCCTCTAAATGTTGTAAACACTTGAGTACAAAATGTTTTAAATTGTGTCCTCTGTTTCTTATAGCTGACAACCTGAGCAACGCCCAGTCAGGCTCCAGTCTGTCTCTCGCCTCGGCCGCAACCAACGAGGCCGACAGCGTCAACTCTGGAGGAGCTGGTTCCCAGCGGTAAGCTGCGCAGTCTTTTCTGTTTACTTGTGAGCTTGTGCTTAAGAATACTCTCTGCATCGTTTACTTTTAAGATTTGCAGTATTTATATGATGACATTTTCTGTAAACTCAAATGAGTATAATATATAATCATTCATTCCATTATGTCTTGCAGCTGTGACTCTGTGGAGTCGTTTCCAGGCAGCCGTAACAGTCGAACTGCAGAAAGAGACTGGGACAACGGCTCCACTGCATCTTCCATCACCTCCATGGCTGAATATACTGGTAAGTGAGCAGATATCATTATGTTTTTGTTTCTTTTCTCAGCTATCATCAGATATAATTCAGCGACAGCAGCCCTGCGGTTGTGTTTTTTCAGTTGATCATTTATCAGTGATGAAAAGATCACGTCCAGCCCGCTTTCAGCATGACACAAAAACACCAGTCAGTTTCACTGTTCTGCTTCTCAAACTTTTCCGAACACAATAAATGGATAGCAGTTACCTGACTGTGACCCGAACTGACTGTTGCATGATGTCGACTCGTGGTTAATTTATAATCATCTGACTCATTATTTTCTCTCTTGTTGTGTGTTACACAATACATGTGTTGTTTAACCGGCTTTCCTCCTTCAGGTCCCAAACTATTCAAGGAGCCCAGCGCCAAGTCAAACAAGCCAATCATCCACAATGCAATCTCTCACTGCTGCCTGGCTGGCAAAGTCAACGAGCCCCAGAAGAACCAGATCCTAGAGGTACTTAATGTTTGAAATGTCAGCAGGTTGTTTGGCTTACCTGTTTATGTAAAGTCACTGTGTCCCAGGCTTTCCACCTCTCTGAATACTTACCCCCAACATTTTCATGCCCTTAGTACAAGTATGTCTGTGTGATTTTTAGAACTGAGAAACGATTAGTCCATTTATTATGGAAGCCCTGAGAGGCGAGTGAAACTTTTTCATACATTTGTAGCCCAAAGAAAGACACGACAGTAATGTTACGTAACACGCTAACACACATTATATTAACCTTGTGTTTGGAGTACATGGAGAAATTACAAATCACCTGGAAAAAGACATGAATGCTTTTAGTCCCATTTAGACTGGGGTAGTGGTGCACTTCAGCCTCTTCGGCATTAGAAAAACACTTAGAAAAATCCTGGCAAAATCCTCTTTTCAAGCAGCTCTCAGGGCTTTGGCAGGTGATTTATTTTTTCTAAAGCTTCTTGTGGCTGAAATGAGTATTACAAAAAAACAAACACAAAATAATAGCCTCTCAAGGCTTCTGTAATTGATTGATTAGTCCATATTTGTCATGTATCATTCCTGTATCATTCCTAACTGAATATTTAGGTTTTTTTTAAACATTTGGTCACATCAAAGGCATGTGAAGACCTCACCTTCAGATCTGGAAAATTTTAGGACAATTTTTTTGACATTAAACACAACACAAGAGCAGGTACTTATTCTGTTTAGATCTGCTTTAAAAATGAGATGTCTCACTCTGTTTTTCCTGCCTTTTTAAGATTTGAGCCTGCTATTTAAACATACCTGTGTCATATGACCATATGCCATATTAACGACTGTTTTCGGACTCCTTCTTTACCAGGAGTTGGAGAAGTGTGAGTCCAACCACCTGATGATCCTGTTTCGTGATGGCGGCTGTCAGTTCAGGGCGCTCTACTCTTACTTCCCCGACACCGAGGAGATACAGAAGCTGACGGGCACCGGACCCAAGAGCATCAGCAAGAAGATGATTGACAAGCTGTACAAGTACAGCTCAGACCGAAAGCAGTTCACCGTCATTCCTGCCAAGACTGTGTCAGTCAGCGTGGACGCCCTGACCATCCACAACCACCTGTGGCAGGCCAAGAGAAGTGCTGTGCCAAAGAAAAGTGTAAAATAGCAGACCGGATTTTTAACCCTCTATCATCCAAATCATCTTATGCCCATCTTGCTTGTGTCCTGAATAGACTGCATTGATGCTCACAGCCAAGCTCTCCGCCATGCTCGGTCTGGAAACCTACTCAGGAGAGGCCACATCCATGAGCTTGTGGTCATGTGTAGGTGGACCAAGACAGAAACAAGGGAAAAGGTATGTGTGTGTATGTGCGCGCGCGTGTGTGTGTGTGTGTGTGTGTGTGTCACACAGGTGGTCTGAGGAACTGGTGCTTGCAACGAAAAGAGGACTGCCGGCTGAATCTGCTTCTTCTCCCTGTGATCTCAGTGCGATCTGTTCAGGTTTCTTTTGGTCCGGCTCTGTTTTTCTACGACAACCACGACTCAAGCATGTGGCATTTTTTTCTCTGTCTCTCTAGTATGTGGTGGATGTTCATTTTTACATGAAGTATTTATTAGTTCAGCACTGTCATGGTCAGGAGCTCAGCTGCAGCACTAAAATCCTTCCTTCCCTCCGGAAGCGCCTCTCCTTTGGACTCATTTGGACAAAAGGAGGGGACATCGGGAGATTTCTGTCGCTCTTTTCAGAAAATCCGAAGCAAGGGACCTTTGTAATACCCCTTTAGGACTGTTGGGCTGCTCTGCTGTCCCAACAAAAAACAAACAACAATCTCTTCCTGCGTGGACTGTCGAATCTGTCGAATCAGGCTGGCATTACCGATTTTGCCTCACCAGGGATCTCCAAAAACCTGCTGCTCTGAACTGTCTTCTTCTTTTGTCGCGTGGGGAGCTCCTCAGGTCTCCCTCAGACATCCGTTGGCCTTTCACGCATCGTGGTACTATCGTCTATTTATTCAACCGCTTTTTAAACTAGACGCTGATCGTGTAGCACTGGATATGTGTATAGCGAGGAAAAAAAAAATAAAAAGTTAACGACGGTCATTTTAAATACTATTGTTGGAACATCCTTTTTCTTGAGGGTGGCAAAAGAGGGTGAATGATAGGCTTTGGTACAAAAATGATGCTTTTTTTTGTTTTTTTTGTTTTAGCTTTTCTTTTTTCTTTTTTTTAATTATTATTATTGAAGCAATGTGGTATAAAGTTTGAGCTGATGTTATGTGTTTTCATCATAACGGGAATTCTCTGATGTTTAGAGCTTAGTTGTGTTTTCTCTCTCCACTGGGCACTCTTGAATTGTCCTGTGTAAAGGTGCACTCGATGTAACAGGTTTGCACTCATGAACACTTGATCGATCGGCTTCTTTCATGCAATGTAACCCCCCCCCCCCCCTTCCCTCCTTCCCCTCCTCCCCTCCCTCGAGTGTTTTTGTCGAACCACAAGAGTGGCACGCACACACACACACACACACACACACTCTTGTTGTGAAGAGTGTTTTTCGTGCTGCTCTGTAACTGGTTCGAATGACAGTATTTGATATATTCACAAAGGGGTTTCTGTGTGTGGGCGGGTTGGCGGGGGGGAACTGTGGTTCAGTTATGTACCAACATTAAAGAACATTCCTCCAAGGTGTTGACAAACACTGCCACGTCGTCTCTCTCTCTCTCTTCTCTCGTCTTTACGAATAATCAAAGTGCTTTTTTTTCCTTTTTTTTTTTTTTTTTTTTTTTTTTTTAAAACCGTTTGTTGGCCTCGAGAACAACCAGAAGTGTTGCACAAGCACTTTACTTTCTGTTTGTTTGGGAATTTTACCTTTTTGAATGGATATAAAAACTAAGAACTAATTAGTAATACTGCTGTTGTGCGCTCCGAAAAAAGTGTGAAAACTAAACCAAACGCTAAGATTTAATACTGACACATGAATCTGAAAGGCCTCCGCTGATATGATACTACTGCTGTCTCCAAAAACTACAGAATACTTGATTTGTCATTTGCTGCATTTTGGAGTTTTTGGGGGGGTTTGGGTGGGGGAGGTGGTAGATCCTTAACTGTATGTGAGTGTATTTTTATGTTAACTAAAAGATTGTATTGGCATTTGGTCACCATTTTTGTTACACTAGTGTACTTTTCATCCTTGTTGATTTTATCTTTGATCCCATGCCATCTATTTATTTTAAAATGGAAGCACTGAAACGGAATAAATTTTCAAGTGAATAAAAGTCACATTTTTCATTTTTATTCTTTCCTCATGGCTTCATTTGTTCATTTTTGAGACTCACTGTTTATTTTATTTTGCTAGTTTTAGACACCACACTGATTTTAATCTTTACACGACAGCTCACTGATATCACAAAAGTAGTTTTTGTTTATTCACTTTATTTATTTATTTTTTAAACAAGAAGCTACATGGAGCATCTGGCCACATCCTTTCACTGGAATGTTTATTTTGCTGAGTTAAAGGTCCTGTATTTAACAATTTTACAGTGTTTTATTTGATGTTTTGATATTGCCAAGAAGATATATTTGTGGTTTGTGGTTTTAAGCACCAAAAACCATCTCTGTGTAGTTGTACATTTCCTCTCTCATGCTTCTCTCTGGAGCTGTAGTAACAACAGGTTGGTTGAGCCAATCAGGAGAGAGGAGGTTTCTGAATACAGGCTGTGTGTGTTTCTCTGTGGACTGAGCGCTTTGATACTTTCTCAGTATTAATATAGAACCTAGACCTGCTTTATAATCAAAAAAGACATGGAAATCTCACTTTATACAATATGGGGCCTTTAAAACTGATCTCACAGGGTTGTGTGAATCTTTTTAAAGCAAAGAAGAAGAAAATGTATCACACATCATGACACAGGGTTTCTAATTTAAGCATCTTAAATAGTCAAAACCTCCTCAGGTCTCCCCTGGTGCCTCGCACTCCACCAACCAACTGGAACAGCGGCTTTTATAATTCCTTAACGCCAGTGCTCATAACCATGGCAAACTCTGATCTGCCATAGCAACTGTGTTTCTTTTTCACACCTGGTAGTTCAGGTGATCACAAGCCCATCACACTTGGTAAACCGTCCCACCAGGTAGAGTCCAAGCTGTAGACTCTGCATCCTGCATTGATGAGATTGATCACCATGATAGGTGAGTGCACTTATTTCATCCTCGTACTTTGTGTAGAAAATGATGAAGTGATGTCAGAACTGATGTGATTCCTCCGTATCTCCACAGGCGTTGCTGCTCTCACTTTGTTGCTGGTGAATGTGCCGTTCAGCCATTCATGTGACGAAGTAGAACAAGTTCTGATCTGCCCGAACTTCCCTCCGTGTAAGAGCTCATGGTTTGATTCAGTGTTTGATCAGCTGTGTGAGTGCGCTTTCATGTACATTGGGCTGATATTGGTGTTTATTTGAATATTGATATGATTAGATTCCTTCCTCCACAGAGTAATTTGTAATGCTCACTGAAAAGAAAACCAAATTGTTAAAAAAGTTGAGGTTCAAAGTTATTTTTCAATCTTTTCCAGTCATCACCAATGAAGTGTTAATTTAAAAAAGAAAAATGGGCGTGATCACCACACCAGTCCTTGTATCTTCCCTGGAGCAACTGGTCTGAAAACATGCACTGAATGTGACAGAAAAACAACTTCGTCATACCTTCTTTCATCACATTCTCCCACGCATCAACTGTAATTCTAATTCTCTTAGATTTCAGCCCCGGTTCTTTGACCCTGGTGATGTACCTGAATGGCGTCGGGGAGATCAACTCCACTGTGTTTCACAGCAGCAACCTCACCTCTGTAACCACGCTCAGGATCGAAAACGCCGGGGTCACAGGAATCGCTGAAGGAGCCTTCGGTTCTTTCCAGAACCTCAGAGGTATCAGTTTAAGGAGGAACGCGCTGACACAGATGAACACTAACTGGTTCGGCCGGCCTGCTGTCCTCAGTGAGCTCAGCCTCGCAGAAAACCAGATTGAAGCTGTGAACGAGTCGATGCTGACCGGGCTCATCAACCTCACGAAGCTCAGTCTGAATAAGAACAGAATCAGAACCATTGAGACAAACAGTTTTCAGTCACAGACCGACTTGGCTGAGCTGGACCTGTCAGAGAACAGGATGACTCGGGTCTCACCGCAGGTCTTCAGGTCTCTCAGGTCCACCAGGATCAGACTAGATGGGAACCCCTGGGACTGTTCCTGTGGAGCTGAGGACTTTGTTGTCTTCCTAAAAGGTTTGTGAAATCTGAGACAAATAACGACAAAGACCTGTGCGTGTTTAAAGAAGACTTCGAACCCTAAAACCGCTTCTCCTCTCAGACCTTCAGAGCAGATCTCTACTAGACAGACAGACGGCGGTGACCTGTGAGAGTCCTCCATCTCTGAGGGGTCGACCTGTGTGGGACGTGTCGGTGTGCATGACGTCACCTACACCAGGACCACCGTCGGCATCACAAACGGTCCAGCTCAGACCCACTGATGCACTCACAACAGTCCCTGCATCCTCTGGTACGTCTGGTTCGTCCTTTATTTCACAGGTCCCAGATTCGCCTGCTAATTTGATGGAAACTTTACTGTTAATGACTAGAATATTTCCCAGAAAGTCCTACTGTAGGTAAGTGAAAAATAGTTGATGTCAATATCCATCAGTTTCCTAGAAAGACGAACAAAAAATCAGTCTAATTTTTGATTAGACAGAAAATGTGCCACATTGAGTCCCAGCTCTGACGTGTGGAAATTAGGTAGGAATATGTTTGTAAATGTAGCTGCTGAGTCGGTGAAGTTTTACAGCATGGAGTGTGTATTATTGATGATCATCAGCAGTGTGAAAGACAAAACAAAGGAAATCCCAATGCAGCTGAGAACTACAGGTAAACATGTATTTACTGACCACTGCTAAGCAGATCCATAATGTATGGCAGCTCAAAAAACACAAATTATTAATTTTTGTTGGTTTTTTTTATTTATGAACCATTTCACTTACCTACAACATCATTTTCCATTTTTTTTCTTTTTGTTTTTTTAACTAAAGAACTGTAGCAAATAACGCTTTCTCTGTTTCCTTCATAAATTGTTAAGTTGTGCAGGTCTGTCTTGGAAATGTCCCAGTAATTAGAAGCTTGATACCAGCTAATTTTTATAAATTTATCAGGAAGGTTTTCAGGAGAAAATATGAGACCTATAAAATAAAGTGTTACCTAAAATCCCCACCATTCGCTTTTGAATGCTGCCCTCTCCCCACATTGGGTAATTAGTGCTTTTGTTGTTCCCCCTAGCAAACGTTGGTACAGCTGCATCACAAGAAACCTCTGTCCAAACCAAACCCACTGATGCACCCACAACAATCTCCCCTCACACTGGTACCTGTGCTTCGTCTTCTTCTCCCAGTTTGTGTTTGATGTTTGAAATTCTTCAGCACAGTTTTGTTCAGTTTGTGTCTCTGTTGTTCTCTGCAGCAACAGCTCCAGCACGGCCAACAACAGAAACATCTGTCCGCTCAACATCCACTGATCAACTTAGAACACAAACTGGTACATTTACTTCTTCTGGTGCCAGTTTTCTTCATCTTTAATATTAATTTAAACAGAATCAGAATAATGAGAGTAATTATATAGTTCTGTTACAGGGAAGACAGAAGACCTGACATATTCGATAAACCGTTACCACAACTTCTACACACATTGCAAGACTCCAGGTTTATTTAAGAGACAGAAACACCTACTCTGAATCCTCCTGAAATGTTTGATGGTATTTCACCTGCAGATGGCGCCATAGCAACATGATAAATGAACTATCTCAGCGGTCGTGGCTCTGACTCCTTTGAAATTTTGTAGAATTCATTCTTTTGTAGAATAAAAATCCCTGATTTTTCCAGTCAGGATTTTTTCTGACTTCATATATTTTGATGCTGATTCAAAATCTATAATCATTTTCTGTTATGAAATGACTCTGGAGCCTTGGAGGTGTGTCTTTCTAGTTGTTTGGCATTTCTGTTGTTCCCTGTAGCAACACATGTGACTTCACCACCATCAGAGGCAGAAACCTTCACCCCTCCACACACTGGAGTGACCGGTGCGTTTGATATTTCAATGTCAGAAATAAAAGAATCAGAGGATTGCCTTAACCCTCACACAAATAATGTGTTCTTCATATTCATGTTGTTCCTTCTAGAAACATGTGTGAGCTCAAAACCAGATACAAACACTGTCTGCACACTCGTTGTTGTGATAGGTACCTTTATTTTATTTTTCTTTCTTTTGCAAATTTCAGCTTGATTGTACTGAAAAATATAATCGGATGATTAAATAATAACGGCTTGCTCCTCTGCAGTGGTCCTCTGTGTGCTGCTGCTTGTGGTGTGTTTCCTGGTGGTGCAGCACAGGAGGAAACGCAACAACAAAACTGTGATGCCTGGACGTTCAAAAGAAGTGAAGGAGGAGTTGGAAGACGACAGCAGATCAAACCCTGATCAGTCTCCAGGACACTCTGAGAACAGAGACACAGAGACGGCTCAGAGGAGGCCTTTTAGTGGAGTCAGAGCTAAGTCGGCTAACGCTATTCTCTTTATGTCTCCTTTTTGTGTGTCTGGGAAAGATCAAGTGACTGTGCAGCATGAGACAGAGGCTCAATCAAAAGACACAGAAGGAGCAGGAGGAGAGCAGAAACCGGAAAATGAAGCAGGAGGATTTCAGACAGAAAATATCACAAACACTCCCGACACGACTGAGGGACAAACTGATGCCGGCAGGAGTCGAGATGACAACTCCCACCGTGTTTCTGTCAGCACTGACACTGTGGCGTATCTGAGCATCGGCAACAACCAGAACAAACCAAACCCTGATAATCTCAGCAAACAGCTCACTGACAGTTTGGGTCAAAGATCACAGATGGGAAAAGTCATGGGGAGGATCTCCACCTGGCCTCCCACTGCAATTCAGTGGCAGGAAAGATGTAAAGTGATGGAGGAGGAGGCGAGTGAAACTGAGAAGCACCCAGGTGAAGCGAAGAAAACAGTAAACAGAGAGGAGCATCTCTCTGTTTGTGACCGGGACACAAAGGAAGAAGAAATGGAGGAAAATCAAATGGAGGGTTTTATAACTTCTCCAAACAAACTAAAAATGAACGTAGCTGGCATGAAATTGAAATTCAGTGAGGTTCAAGCCCACACGGACACCAAGCAAGAGGAACCAGCCACAGTGACACATACAGGAAGTAAAACCCAAAGTCTGAATCAGGAAAAACTCAGTCACAACCAAGACCTCAAACCTGCAGAAAACTCTGCACACAAGAGCAGCAGCAAGGCCCAGCAGAGAGACGAAGCGAAGCGAGCTGTGACGAACAGACAGAGGGCGGAGAACAGAAGCACCGGCTCAAAGACTCGCTCTGACGGTGCCTCACCGGATGATGAAACGCTGCTGTACGGCAACGAGTACGCCTTCATGGACCTGCTGCATGAGGTCGTGCAGAACAACGGCCGCTGGACCCGAGAGAGGTGGAGGCAGATGCATGTCAACAAGCAGCGGCGTTAGGACGGAGGTACACAAGGAGTTGTGATTCACTAAAATGTTTTGTACACATAATATTTAGTAGTTTTATTCTGGCAATCAGCACTTAAAGGAACAGTTCAACATTATGGGAAAAATTCCCTTATTTGCTTTCTTGGTGAGAGTAAAATGAGGAAATCAACATCACTCTCATGAAATCGGCCAATCAAGGGACCCTCAAGTGATCTGAAGTTTGTATCACGCTCCCATACAGTTAGGGGGACTGACATGAGATGGATAAAAAAAATAAGACGCACAGTGAAGCAGCAGAGGACGATATATCCTGACTTTTTTGTCTTTATTTTGGGTGAAGCTCCAGAAACACTTGATCCTACATTTCCCATAATGCAATATGTTACAAAGAAATGATACAAGCTCATGAACTGTAGAAGAATCTTGTTTAATCTTATGATGCTTTGGATATGATGCTCTGTATACACTGATGCATGAGTATTAATAATCTTTTAATGTCATATATCATTCGTCATCATTAATCAGCCACAAGCCGCTCGCCTGGATCTGTCCAGAGGAAATAAAATCCACTTAGCAGCAGCTGGGGGTGCAGTTGTGTGGAAGTTACTTTGTTTTTCAATCTTTAAAACAGGTGAAAGAAAGACGAAGTACCTGACAATAATTAGATACTGCGGTTTTATTGAATTTCCAGGAACAGCAGAGTCACAGTTTCTGATGACCTGTGTCAGGACCTTCACTCTGCTGTGCTCCTGTCAACCTGTGATGGATGTGATGGATACTTCAGGTGTTATTCAGTCTTTTAAGAAGGTGAGAAAAATGCCAAGTACCTGATAAGTGCTGGACAGTTACTTTCACCTGTTTTAAATTATGAATGACAAATGCGGTCACACTTTACAGCGGTCACCAATATGGTGTTACACCGTCTTGTCGTCACTGTGAGGCCACAATTTCTCGTTTTTACTCTTCGGTTTGTGAGCAGATTAAACAAGGCGTAACTTGGTCATTAGTGAGCTTTAGAGGTATCAATTTAACTGTTCCCTGACTTTATGCTAAGCTAACTAGATACTGTATCTGTAGTCAAGAGAGTGGTATCAATTTTTGGCATGTAACTCAGCAAGAAAGCGATTAAGGACGTTTCACAAAATGTTGAAATATTCCTTAAGCTGTGAGTAAATAATGGCACCCTGATTAAATGTAAAAACATGTGATTACTCCTCACACTGTCACCTGAAGCTTTGAGAAGAAATAAAAACACAATTTCATTCATTAGATCTGGCTGCATGCAGCATTTATTTGTTCATATTTTATATACGTAGAAGGACACTCGCTTCTCATAAGAAATAGTACAAAATGGATCAACCCCTTTTTGACACTTGACCTAAAAACAAAGTGGAGGTAAACATGATACGGAGGTTTTTGATAACACTGAGACGACATGCATGTTCCATTCATATAAATACACAGTATCAAATAATGGATCCAACTTGCAAGCAGTTGACTTGATTATGGGTTTCTCTAGCGATGGGACATCACACTAAATGTCCTGCTAAATGTACAAAATGTATTGTTCTTGGCAAGCTTGTATATCAAAACATGCTTTTTTTTTGTGTTTACATGCCCCTTGTGGTATTGTAAGTACGGACAGTAGGAGATCTGAATTGATTTCTTTGTGGAGTTGTGTGAAGTGAGGACCCAGGAAGACGTTAAATGAATGGATCAGCACACAGATCGTATCCTCCATTGTGGTCGCACATGCTTTCACTCCTCAGCTCTCCTGCCCTGTAAACTGACCATTCTGGGGAGGGGGGGCTACTGAGCAAAGATCAACAGTTAATCTCAATTGGACTCTTTGCAAAATATATAAATTGTAAAACATGGGGAAAAAAAGCTTATGCTGATTCCTCCACAAAAAAAGGCAGATTTCAAAGAGAAAACAATACATTTTAGATTACTTCATCATTACTATCACTTGATCTTTGACATGAAAAATAAAAATGGCACATAAAGTAAGCTTCGCAAACATCTGCAAGGTGTGCATGTGCACAATACTGCACATCTGACTGTCTTTGCTTCACAGGAATGGTTGAATACTGTCCGCTGTGTTGTACAGATTCAGCTTAAAGGGTCATGCTGATTTGCTCTAGACATCCCCGCAGAGCTTAGTGCAAAAATAGTTCAAGTCCTCTTTCACTTCTTAAAATCACACAGAAGAGATTGAAACAAAACAAAGGAAAAATAAATGGCAAAACGGTGAATAAATAGTTACTATTTACAGTGATCAAACCAAACATACATCTGAGAAATGATCAAATAAAAAGATTCAAATACTGCACCGTGACACTCTTCACACACGTGTGGCCTGTACAATTTGGAAGAGAGAGCACTTCATTTTCAGCTCAAATATATCCAAATATATTTGGAAATAGATTACAGATAGATCACTAACCATAACCCTATCTGTGCAAAACTCTTCTGCTGCCAGTCCTCCTGCAACTCATTAAAGAGTTCTGATACTGGAGGATTTACCATCAACATCAAATGAATTCAAGGTAAAAGAATAAGAACACTAGAATCTGACCGATACTGGATTGATATTTGAGTTGAAAACAATTTGATAAGGATATATCTGAAAATTGTTTTTTCTGATAAGGATACCTTAATGTCACTTTGGAAATTTGGAATACACGCTTATTCACTATCCTGCTGAGAGTTAGATGAGAAGATTGACACCACTCTCATGACTAATCAAAAAACAGCCAGACAGTTGTCTTAGCTTAGCATAAACACTGGAAGCAGCTAGCAAAATCTGCCTACTGGCACGTCTTAAGCTCACAAATGTATATGTTATATTTTGTTTAATCCTCACATATGTTTTAAACAAACAAGATATGACATGTTACAGTAGCAAGCTTTAAAAGTGGTACTTGACGTTTCCCGCTGCTTCCTTTAGCTTAGTCTTTATGCTAAGCTAAACTAATCTCCTGCTTTCTCTACTTTTATATTTATCATACAGATATGAAAGCGGTGTCAAGCTACTCATCTAAATCTCCAATGTGCAAATAAGCACGTCACAAAATGTTAACCTATTCCTTTAAATTTGGTCATTAAACATTTGTGAACATGAAATGTAGAGACATTTTACAGCTGAAAAAATTACACTACAGCTATAAATTACAACTATAAACAAAAAAAATGAAACAAGTACATTCTTAAATTTAACTACGAAAATAAGAAATATAAATTAAAAAAGTAGCTTATAGAATTACAATAACCTATACTGATTTCTAGTAAATTAAGTAGTGCAGGGTGTGGGCAAGCCTGTATTATTAACATTAACTTAATTTATGATTGTTGAAATAGCTGATACAAATGAGTAATTCATATTTTGTATGAATATATCCCTCATTTACCAGTATTCTTTTGGTATTTCTATACTGCAGGTGTATGATTTATGTATTGGCCAGGTTCTAAAATAAAAAACACTAACACTGATATCATAAAAATAGATGCAGAATGGCACTGATGTACAAATTTAAACATTTAAATATCTCAAAAAATAAACAAAATGGCACATATAGTAGAGCAGACATAATCTGAGACTGTTATATAAATAGTGAAATAAATTAACAATATTCACTTTTCAACAATAACTACAACAAAAATTAGTTTCCAAAAACATAACAGAAAATATTTTTTTATATGGCTGATTAAAAATGCCAGGGGACAGTTTGTTGTAAAAAAGTTTGTGCTCATAAAGAAAATGAAAATCCTGTCTGATAAAGAGCATACAAACAGTCAATACAAACTAAAACATCTGTAATAAATTAAGGAAAAGTGCACATGTATTGTAATTTCATGGTAAATGCTTGAAGAGCTAGAAATTCAAAGCATTTACCGTTCTCTTTAAAAAACATGATGATGACGGTGTGGAGGAGGGTGTAGTTGCCCCGAGATTCAGTTCTTTTGTGAGTTTAGGTAGAAACAGGTGCAGAGGAAGTCGGTCTGAGTCACGGTGTGAGGGCAACTTCACCCCTGAGCAAAACATTGTTGGGCGAAAGAATGGTTTAATATCCTATATATGCACAAAAAAAATCCTCTGACTGTCCAAAGACCTCTCACAACAGCAATCAAACCTCTCAGACCTTTGGTTAGTGGGGATGAGGGAGTCATTTCCAGTACCTTGTTCTCAGTTCCAGACTGTTTAGCGAGGGCGATGTGTATTAGTACAGTTAGTAGAGGCATGTGAGTGGAGTTGGGGTGACGAGGCACTCTTCATGCATCCTCCTGTAGCAGCTCAGTGGGAAACAACAGGTCTCTCAGCGCTGTCTGATTGTTTCTGGTCTGAGCCTGAGAGACACATAATGCACATTCACAATAGACAGCTGTTCTGTTCTTCTGTTTCAGAGGTGAGTCTCGTCTCTTGTCTCTGTGCCAAAGTCCTGCTGGTTCCTTGTGCTGCGTGCCTGCCCCACCTGTGCGTCCTCTGGCATGTGTGCCAGTGGGTCAGACCGGATAATGTACCTGAAGAGAGAAACTCAACATTATCTGGCAGTATGGAGCAGTAACTGTACAAGAGAGTGAAAATTTGGATTAAAACTTGAGCATTAAAATCAAAGGTGTAGGTTTGGTGCCAACATTGGTAGGGACACAACAACTCCGCCTGCCCGTCAAAACAAAGACATTTGCTATTTAATGCTGTCATCCAAACAGTTTATTAACATATAAGATCTGAATTCACATTCAGGAATGCCAATACGCAAATGTAATATATGTATATGTGTTGAATTTCCATATATGAAATATACATAAATGAGGTGTCATAGTATAGTAAGGCATAAAAAAGTCATAGTATATTGAGTATAGTATAATAATAGCATAAATAGTATAAAACGTCATAGTATAGTAAGGCATAAAAGGTCAAAAAACGACAGTAAAGTGAGGCATAAAATGTCATAGTATAGTTAGTCATAAAAATGTCAAAAATTGTCATGGTATAGTAAAGGCATAAGAAGATCATAGTATAGTAAGGCATAAATATTTAAAAAATACGTCATAGTATAGTAAGACATAAAATGTCAAAAAATGTCATAGTATATTAAAGGCAAAAAATTGTTAAAAAATGTCATAGTATAATAAGGCATAAAATGTCAAAAAATGTTATAGTAAAGTAAGGCATAAAAACGTTAGAAAACGTCATAGTATGGTAAGGNAAAATATCATAGTATGAGAAGGCATAAAAATGGCATAGTATAGTAAGGCATAAATATTTCAAAAAATGTCATAGTAAAGTAAGGCATAAATATTTCAAAAAATATCATAGTATAGTAAGGCATAAAATGTCAAAAAAGTATATTAAGTCATAAAACATCATAAAAATGTAACAGTATTGAGATGGACCTTGGCTGTATGACCCTATTTTGTTTAGGCCTGTTTCTGGTTCCTGTGTTTTTTTCAGGTACTTCCTGATCAACTGACTGACTTCACCTGAGTGTGGCCTATTTAAGCTGGGAGATTCAAGATGGCCTCT